GGAGTAATGGGGTGCTGGGGGGTGGGAGAGTGGGTGGAGAAGGGCAGGAGGAGGGCAGGGAAGTGAAAGGGGATGTATGCGTGATGGTCTTTTGAGAGAAAAGGCATGCATAGGTTTGTGGCTGGTGACTCACTGCTGAATTACTTCCGCTCTTTAGAATTTCAGGACTTCAACAATTTCAGGAACATCTGCCTTCGAAGAAATCAAGGCAAGGGACGTGGCACAGATACACTGATGGAAGCACCCCCCTTCCCGGAAATATTCATGCCAACAATCTTAAAAATGGGTCACAGATTCCCTTGACATGATGCAAAGTAAATGCAGCTAACCGTAATAAAATGTTGCATCAGCAAGGCTGCTTAATTTTAAGAGAATGGAAGCATCCCAGCTTCTGCATCCATAATTTAATGTAGCTTCTTCCTATTCTGCTACTAGAAGCACGCATGACTCCATGGCACCTCTAAATTGGTACGACTGGTCTTTTTCAGAATGCCAACCCCAAAGCCCCCTCTTTCCCTGCTGCTATTAAAATGCAGCACAACATACCTTTACAGGGCAGTCCTACATACAATCACCTTGAATTCCACAAGGCTTGCTTCTGGTAAATAGGTACATAGAGGATTGTGCTGCTGGTGGGACTGCCTTGTTGGTGCTATCCTGTGACAGGGCCTTTTCAGTGGTTGTCCCCCATCTGTCGAATGCCTTCCCTAATGAGGTGCATGTGTCTCCATCCTTCTTAACTTTCAGGAGGAATTCAAGGATGCACCTGTTTGCCCAGGCATTTGGTGGATGAAGAATAAATTTCCTGGCAACTCTGACATCACGTGCTGAAATATATTAGTTCCATAATAATTGCTTTTAGAATGTTTTTAACTGTAACTTTTTAATGTGGCTATGTTTGCGCGTGCGCACACACCCACACGCCCTGGGGCTATGCAGGATGGAAATTCAATCAATAAACGACATTCCTTAAGTTGTTGCAAGTATTTTGCTAAGACCAACTGTGAAGGCCTAATGTCATGAACTGCTGCATTTGGCTTGCATTGAAATACCTATCTTTCTAGGCTTTGTTTAGATGGGCTTTTTGCATGGACTTGTGCATGTTATATGGGATCATAGCTGTAAACGTTTCCCTTTTTTTAAGGGAAATTCCCTTATTCCGAATAGGATTCCTCGCAAGAAAAGCGAAAAGTTGACAGTTATGTATGGGATGCATAGTTTCACCTGTTTATCCATCGGGGGTTATGGGTTTAACCCACTATACCCTGAGGCTCAGATATAATGATAGTAAAATTCCTTTGCATAGGTGTAGAATGACACATTCCTTATCTGAGGGTGGAGAAGTTAAAAGTTCCCAGTTACCTTGAACCTGTAACATGAGGAGAGGAGCTTATGATTAACAGCGGAGACCACATGAAGAAGTAGCCATTCTCCCAAGATTCTTTGGGGAAAGCCACACTGTTTAAGCCTAAGGTGCCATGCCACTGCTTTGAACGTATAGTGCAGATGGAGCCTGAGATTGTAAGACCACTAGCCCAACCTTTCTATTATATAAATTAGCCCTAGTAAATAGCTTCAGGTACACCTGAATTAGGGATGCGGGTGGCACTGTGGGTTAAACCACAGAGCCTAGGGCTTGCTGATCAGAAGGTCGGCGGTTTGAATCCCCGTGACGGGGTGAGCTCCCGTTGCTCGGTCCCAGCTCCTGCCAACCTAGCAATTCGAAAGCACATCAAAGTGCAAGTAGATAAGTAGGTACCGCTCTGGAGGGAAGGTAAACGGCGTTTCTGTGCGCTGCTCTGTTTTCGCCAGAAGTGGCTTAGTCATGCTGGCCACATGACCTGGAAGCTGTACACCGGCTCCCTCGGCCAATAAAGCGAGATGAGCGCTGCAACCCCAGAGTCGGCCACGACTGGACCTAATGGTCAGGGGTCCCTTTACCTTTACCTTTTACACCTGAATTAGCCCTTATCAGTGCATGGAAAGGGGATTCATGTATTTAAGCAGCACTGGAAATATTACCTTTACACATCAGCTCAGTGACAGCTACAAAACAAGACGTGTTACAATGTATTCATATTCTTAAAATACACATTGGTGGCTTGGCTTTGACTCTAACCTCCTTATGAAAGTAGTATTTGTCAGTGCCACACAAAAAGACAAAGGAACACTGTATTTTAAGGACATGAAGCAGTACATTTCTGCCAGCAGATGGCACGGAGCATACAGTACACACCATATAGTAGCATTTCAGATTCTCAGCTGAAACGTATAAGGGCAGATAAAATTCACATTTCAATCCTTTTAATAAATCCAAGTATTCATACTTCTGCTTTGCTTCACACCTGACTTCTTGAAACATGTTTCCCCCCATTTTAGTGAATTAATCTTCCAAAATGTTTTCTAAAATTCACATTATGATACATCTGTTCTGCCTCCTAAAAGATAATTTAGTTTTCCTGAGTGCGGTAGGGAAAAGAAAATAATGAAATCTCGGTCATTATTAACTTTGCCTTTTGCTTATGAGTCCTTCAGATCACTGATCAAGATGAACTTGCTATATTAAGATTGGAGCATGACTACATAAGAGTTCAGCACAAGGAAACAAACTGAATCACAAAGGCACACACTGGCATATATTAGCAGTAAAGCTGAAAGGTACTTATCTTGCACATCACTTTCTTTTTCTTTGATAAAATGTTTCAAAAATGTTTTCAGTAAACTCTGAGCTGATACTCAAAAGCAACTGCAGAAGGAAGGGGCAGGTTAAGGGATCAGTTACAAATTAAACTTGAAACTATTGTTTATTAATGTTCTAGCTCAAAATGAGCATGTACAAATGGAAGTTGCACACAGACCCACATAAATTATGAGCCAGACAGCAGTATTTGGGCTGAAGATGGGCAACAATTATTTTAAATAACAATTAGGATCTGGGAAGGGTAAAAGCATTCATTAATTAATGTGCAGAGTCCTATGAATCTGAAACATATGATAATCAAACCCCACCCATAGGTGCTAACTCCCTGGGTGCCTGAGCACCCACAAATTTCAGTGCCAGGGCCATGCACTCTGCGTGGCACCCATGGCCCCAGCCACCCACAGTCGCAGGGCCAAGTTGGCAGTCCTGACCACATCTCTATTTTTTGAGTGAGCTCACAGCCTCAGATTAGATAACTTTTCATTCCTAGTCCTTCTGGCTTGCACAATAAGTGTGCTAAATGTGTAGTGCTGACAGGGTCCTATATTCTTTGTTCTGCATTACTGGTATATTTTCCTTTTACTAGGAGGATCCTAAGCTTGGTCTCATATTTGTTCCTGTGTAAGTGTGTATAAGGGATATGGGTGGTGCTGTGGGTTAAACCACAGAGCCTAGGACTTGCCAATCAGAAGGTTGGTGGTTCGAATCCCTGCGACGGGTGAGCTCCCGTTGCTCGGTCCCTGCTCCTGCCAACCTAGCAGTTCGAAAACACGTCAAAGTGCAAGTAAATAAATAGGTACCGCTCTGGCGGGAAGGTAAACGGCCTTTCTGTGTGCTACTCTGGTTTGCCAGAAGTGGCTTAGTCATGCTGGCCACATGACCCGGAGGCTGTACACCGGCTCCTTCGGCCAATAAAGCGAGATGAGCGCCACAACCCCAGAGTTGGTCACGACTGGACCTAATGGTCAGGGGTCCCTTTTCCTTTACCTTTAAGTGTATATAAATATTGGTGTGTGTCCAAATATTCAGGAACGAACCCTATATTGTCTGAGTGACAGCTTAGAAATCATTAAGTGTCATGCAAACTGCACAGCACAGGTCTCTCTAGATATAGGGGCATGTTTTAGGGGTACGTTTCGCAAAGAGGACACTAGTGGACGGATTTAATCCCTTTCACAGTCAGTGAAGCTTTGTAATACACACAGGCATGCCCAATGCCTGAAAAAGCACTGCTGCACTTGCACTGGGCCACCTGAGTAGTTTACATGGGCATTAACTACTAAATTATCCCCATTCACGTTCAAATTACCTTTTACAGCCCAATCTTATGTACGTTCACATATAAGTAAGTCCTATTGTTGAGGGTTAGGGATGCGGGTGGCGCTGTGGGTAAAACCTCAGCGCCTAGGCCTTGCCGATCGCATGGTCGGCAGTTCGAATCCCCGCAGTGGGGTGAGCTCCTGTCGTTCGGTCCCAGCTCCTGCCCACCTAGCAGTTCGAAAGCACCCTTAAGTGCAAGTAGATAAATAGGTACCGCTTTATAGCGGGAAGGTAAATGGCGTTCCGTGTGCTGCTCTGGTGCTGGTTCACCAGAGCAGCTTCGTCACGCTGGCCACGTGACCCGGAAGTGTCTGCGGACAGCCCTGGCTCCCGGCCTCTAGAGTGAGATGAGCGCACAACCCTAGAGTCTGTCAAGACTGGCCAGTACGGGCAGGGGTACCTTTACCTTTTTATTGTTGAGGGTTACTCCCAAACCAAATGTCTGTATGACTGCAGCCTTGTTCATGTCTGAACAGGTCATAGTGGGGCACAATAGTTAGAGAAAAAACATGAACATGGTGAGCTGCCTTAGACTGAGTCAGACCACTGGTTCATCAACAGTTTTGTACTGTCCACACGGACAGGCAGGGCTCTCTCCCGGTCCTACCTGAAGACGCCAAAGATTGAACCTGGGACCTTCTGCAAGCAAATCAGAAGCTCTTCTACTGAGCAGGCCTGTTATTGCTTTGGAAGCCTCACGGATTGTCGCCAATCCAAACGGCTATTGCTTAAAGTAGCTCGTTGGCTGAGCGGATCTGCCAGGAGCATGTCTTCCCTGAGATGTCATCGTGAGATGTCAAAAGCATTGGTGCTGATCTGCGCTAACTAGAAGACCGTATGAAAGGGATGTCATCCATTCAAGGAACAAGATGTAGTTAAACAGCAAAACAACAATAATTGCCCCTAATTTCCCAAGCAAGAAAGAAACAAGCCTGCAAATATCAGAAGAGTCTCAGCCCTGCGTTTCCATGCGATGCTTTATTTCAGTTCATGAATAATGGATACCATTCTTTCTGTGTCTCGTTGCTTCACACAACGTAAAAAGGTGTGCATTATGCAAATATAATGTCTTAAAATGGTCTTCCTGTCAAATACATATTGTTTTCTGTTTCTGTTTTTAATGTAATTGACAAAACACTTGATAGTACTGATTATGCCTCCCCCTGTAAACAAGTTGTTTTATGGGTATCAGCAGCTGTGTTTATGCCTCTATGAATTTCTGACTTCAATATGAAGTTGTCATTGCACTGTGAAAGAGCACTGCACAAAATCCTAAGCGTGCTACACACCAGCTGGCAAATAAATAAACAAATAAATCCTTTCAGTAATAAAGAGAGGTAAAACAGTATTGGTATACTCCAAAGCAGCATCAAAAAGTTTTATTGGATTTGCTCTTTTAGATTTTATGTACATGTTTGTACTTTAACTAGGAATACCAAGGAATGTAGGAAAAAAACCTAGATGTTCATGCGAAATTTATGGCATGATTCAATCACCTTGGCTAAAGCAGAGCAAGGCATACTCACATTAGCCAAATCCCAGAGGTGTATTCAAGACTAGAACTACACTACTATTCTTGGTAATAAACAGAAAGACCGAGAAACAGTTATTATGCTCATAGGCATAATAACCCAGCCCAGAAAGTTTCCAAGCCTGAGAAAACTTTGCTCCACTTGCTTTCATGTTATGCTATTTAGACAGAATATTGTTTTGAAACTTTTGTTAGATGCCTTTTGGGCACGTCAAGGGGACAAAAAGCGAGGTGTGCATGGTAACACTAAGGGTACAGGTATTTCCCTTCCTGTTCAGAGACAATTTTATGCACGGTGCTCTGAATTGATATAAATGAGTAATGTTCTAGCACTGCATAATGTGGTCAATGGGCAAGTTCAAGTCATTCACGTTTATTTTGAAAAATCTTATGGGCCCTCTCCAGTTATAAATACCAAGCTGTGTTTTATCTTTATGACTTGAAGATGAATCATACCTCATTCCTCATAACAGTGTAAATGCACAATGCAAATAGATTTGGGGCCGGTGTAGGTTTTGGCAGGCCACCCACAAACACCTGAGGATCCTGAGAGCGTCACCAAGGAGGTACAGTACAAACACACTCAATATATGCATATATTAATAAAGCCCTTTACTAAGGAACGGAATACATTTTAAAGAATGCCAGTTTTAAAATATAGCATATTTTAAGCTCCAGTGTCAAAAACATCACTCAACACCTTGCCATGTACCAGGCCACCATGATCCTGCTGAAAGCTGATTTCTTCTTCATGCATTCCAGCCTGTAAATGAACTTGATCTTTTTGCCACAGTTTTCTTTAAATTTTCACTGCCTACGGAAAAGGGATGGGAGGGGTTACTGTAGTCAGCATTCTCTCATCTGTATTTTTGCATTCGTTTAACCATCACCAATTTTCAAGTGGACTCCAGCCTAATTCATATAATATCTCTTACAAACAAAAAGCCATTCTTTAGGGAAAGTTAGACTACAGCAGCGTCATTAACTAAGAAACTGCCACGGTAAATTGTGCAGCGGAAACATGCAAACCACTCTCAATGATCTGGTTGTTCCCCTATTGTGTGTGTGAGCTAGTCTGATTCACTCCTTGCTTACTAGAAGAGTACTTCACAGTAGCCATGGTGAATCTGTCAAGTTTATCTGTTTCTCATTTTTCAATCTCAAGTTCAGTTCTCCACAACAATTTTGGGTTGTTGTTGTTTTTACAAATCCTCATGAAAATTCATCAACAGTGTGAATTTCTCTTTATTCTCTTTGGTGTGAATTTCTCTTTATACAAACTTCTGTATGCAATTTTGCCTAATACACATGCTTTTTCTAAAACAATTTCCTTACTATAATGTGTTTTTGTAGGTTATTTGCACTTACAGATGTGTTTCAATGCAAACTTGACCCTAGTATATGCATTTTCATAAACAGTATCAAATTTTATTTCTGTCACAAACCAGCATAAGATAAAACATACAGATAAACTGAATGCATAAGACTTAAAACAGATAGGGGATACACCTTATTTGGCCCTGCAAAATTCAGAAAGGGTTTTTAAGGAAATGTTTCAGTTTGCATATTGCTTGGAAAGTGCAAACTATGCAGGTTCACCTTTAAATGCAAACTAAATTGAATTTCTCCCCATACCTAAATCATGGTAAGTCCAACTTTAAGTTGTCAGTCAATAGGGTTGCAGAATAGAGAACAAAGGCATTGAAAGGAGCAGTATCTCTAGAACATGGTGGGAGGAAAAAGCTTTGTAATACTCATTGCAGGATCCATTGCAGGACTAAGAAGCAACTTAATGATCTTTGAAGTCACATGAACTGGTAGGGTGACTCCTGCGTATCTTACTTGAATAGTCACATGATAGGTGGAGGGTCCTAAACAATAGGTAGACGCATCGAGCTGAGCAGTATGATCACAATCATGCTCCAGATAGAAGTGAATCCACAACCTGATTGGCTTACAGTAGAATTCCAGAATTAGCCAATCATGTGCAGCCCATTGTGTAAATAATGTATATAAAGCAGACCCCTCAGACATTCATTCATTTCCTCCTCACCACTATGAGCTGAATAAAGAGCATGAAATCACTTTGCGACTGAGTATATTTCACCTATGGAAGGTTACTGGTGAAGGTTACTGGCCCAAGGAAGCTGCTCAATGCAGAGAAAGGGCTCCTATACCATTGCTGGGGAGAGGCAGTGAGCCTGGGCATAATAATCTAGGCAAGACACTCCATAGCCCCTCTACTGTTCATGCTTCTAGGAAGTCATACTTGTGCACTATGAGAAATACTCCCAGGCAGATTAGGATTCTGGGGCCAAGAGTGCATCTAATCTTGACCCAAGGGTGCTCAGCAAACATCAGCCTTGTGTCATTCCTTATCGCTAGGTGAAGGTGGAGTTTATCTAGATTTGTAGAATTTATTTTTCTGCGCTACCAATGCAGGGTGCGACTGCAGCCTCTGTATGGTGGTGGACTTGAGAGTTACCTGTCTCTGGGTATGCCTTCTGAGGAAAAATCCAGGCCCAGTAAACCATAGAAAACTAAGCTGCCTTATTCATTGAAATGGCCAGGGCCTAGAGAAACTCAGAAGACAGGAGGGGGTTTCAAGTTTCCACGAATTGCTGGCCATATGGCACTGCATCTCACAAGTAGTATTCTGGCTAATGGCAGGCATGCCGCATTGGGGGGTGGGAAGAGATGGTTCAGTTACTTGGCAAAAGGATTCCTGCCACGTGCTGAGGTTGCACTGCGTTCCCCACAATGTACAAAGTGCATCATATTCTCAGGTTTCCTTTCTGCAGCTTCTGTTGAACATTTTAAGGCCTTCAAATGCAACCTTTTTGAGATGGAAAACAATAATCACGGTAAGAAAAACTAATTGACAGATTCCTGTGTAGCTGGCAAATGTGAGTCTTTCTTCAATGAGAACACCAATTCAGTAGTCAGGCACAGTTAAAAAAAGGGGGGGGAATCATAAGATTTATTAGGAGAGCAATAGTAAATATAACAAGAAGTATTTTTCCCCTGAAAAGGCATTGTATAAATCCAGTGTAGTCTTTGGGACTCTGCAGACATCATTTTTATTGTGCATTCCTGATGATTTGTGCTTGTGCTGCTATCGGGGAAGTCACATGTGATTCTGCTTTAAATACTGTTTGCACCTGCAAAGGCTGTGGGCTTTTACACAGCTTCATTTCTAATCAGCTTCCTGCCTGAAATCCTGTAATATTTTATACCACCAGTCTGCAGAAGCCGGTTGATTTATTTTGTGGCAGGTTGATTATATTACTACAGACTCATCTAAGAGAAAGGTAGAGTATGGCAGCAGGGGGAACCACACAACTCACAAGCCAATGTGGCTTTAAATGTATGTGGCTCCAGCTGCTTGGAACATAGATTCCTGCCAGGGGATAAGATGGATTACATTGCCTGTATTATAATATACAAAGTAGATCATGTTTTCAAGTTTTCTTTCTGAAGCTTCTGTTGAAGCTTCCAGGGCTTGGTGAGCACTTTAATATTTTGAAAGTGTTTATATATAAAAACAATTCTGGTACAAATTCTAACAATATGAAAAAAATAAAATGATTACCAGATGCTGATGATAAACTGGAGCGATTCTTCCCTGAGAGCACCAATCCAGTATTCAAGCATAATAATAATATAGAAAAGCAAATGTTAGGATGTATTTAAAAAGCAACTGCACACACCTAACAGCAAATATAATATTATCAATGTGTTTTATAAATCTGCAGTGTAGTATTTGGTTGATTTTGTGACTATTTAAGGAAATTACTGCGGAGTTCTCTTTTCACAGGTTTTAATATGCAGAGCCTAGGGCTTGCCAATCAGAAGGTCGGTGGCTCGAATCCCTGTGACGGGGTGAGTTCCCGTTGCTTGGTCCCTGCTCCTGCCAACCTAGCAGTTCGAAAGCACGTCAAAGTGCAAGTAGATAAATAAGTACCACTCTGGCGGGAAGGTAAACGGCGTTTCCATGCACTGCTCTGGTTTGCCAGAACCGGCTTAGTCATGCTGGCCACATGACCCGGAAGCTGTACACCGGCTCCCTTGGCCTGTAAAGCGAGATGAGCGCCGCAACCCCAGAGTCATCTGTGACTGGACCTTATGGTCAGGGGATACCTTTACCTATATTGTTTTTAGGACTTTATTCCTATTCTTCAACTTCCCTGAATCACCCTCACATAGCTGAAGGGCTGTTTATAAAGGTGGAAGGGGGAATATGCAACACTGTTTCTTAAGCATAGAATCATATGAGTTGGAAGGGAGTATGCAGCTGCCCTTACGGGGATCGAACCTGCAGCCTTGGCGTTATGAGCACCACGCTCTAAACCAGGCTTCCTCAACCTCAGCCCTCCAGATGTTTTGAGACTACAATTTCCATCATCCTTGACCACTGGTCCTGCTAGCTAGGGATCAAACATCTGGAGGGCTGAGGTTGAGGAAGCCTGCTCTAAACCAACTGAGCTGTTCTGTTCTGCCCCAGTTTATCCTCCACCCAAAACACTGTCTTGCTGCCTGCTGTGATAAAATTATATAATTTACACCGTTTACAAAATCAATAATGTGAATTATGTGGCCATTGCCTTATTCCACCCCATTCATTTTGATGCAAATGTGTGTGGGGGGGGACCTAATCAATTACGTATCAATGGTGGACTTAAAACCACAACAGTGATTAGCAATTGTATTCACTGGATTGATAAGCAAACACCAGCAATTTCTACCCGTTTTCATCAAAATACTGAGACATTCCTAGGTACATGCATGTGTTTGTGTGTGCAAGATTTGGTCTGTGCAAATGCAAGCACCTTAACAATCATAACTACATTGCCAAGCTTGAAGCAAGAAAGCGTCCTATTATTTTTTATGTTTAAGTATCTATTTAATTATTACCATTAATTCCTGTGACTGATGCCATGCTTTGCCGTGAGTACATCTTTCGCCTTAATAAGGAAATGTTGTCGGAATACGTTGTCAGAGAGCCACATTTAAATGGTCTCCCCAAGTTTTGTTCTTTGTTTTTGCTAATGGCTAATTCAAAAACATGAGAAATTATGTTATGCAATATATATATTTTCATAAGAAAAAGTTTTTTCTGAATTAAAGGATTAAAACAAACTCTAAAACAAAAAAAGCCACGAAATATTTAGCCAAGGCAGAACAGAAATCAGAATGTAAGTAAACAAGTATCATATGTACAGCTTTCACTTCTAGAATAGCAGTCGCTTTAAGAATTCTGCTGACTTGAGGCGGCATATTTTTCTACATAACCCAATTTAAGGCACACGTAGCACAGTCGTGTGTCGTATCCAACACTGCTGTTCCACTTGTCCAACAGATTTCTTCTTATGCAGTGGAACTTCTCCTTCCTTCGCCTGCAGTCCCACACCCTCCAAATCTGCTGATGAAGGCTGGAGGACCCTCGAGAGCAATTTCAGGGGCCTGAAGGAAGAAGAAGTCCTGTTGCTCAAGTGGAATGCTGCTTGCACAGCACCGAAGACAACCTTTAGTCTTTCCAGTAAAACATGGGGAGCACTCAGGAACAACAAAATGAAAAACTGGCATTAGGGTTCATCTTTCCCATAAAACCTGCTTTCAAAATTTCTTCCCCTAGGATCTGCTTGAGATGGGTTGAAAATTACTGAGGCTCACTGGCCACAGAACAGTGTTGCAGTGGCAGAGGCTTCCACAAAATGGTGGCAGATAAAGGCAGCAGACATCATGTTCTGTTGCTATCACTGCATTCTTTGCCACGGTGTTTTCCTTGTGGCGGGGACTTGCATTGCTCAGCTTTCCGGAAGCTAAAATTTACTGATCTAGAGACTCTAGATATGCTTTTAAATATTTTCCTTCCAACCCAAGCATGACTCTCAAAGTATTTTTACTCATCTCCTGTAATTTCTTCTCCAATCCTATTTTCACAATCAACTTGTATTTATTTTATATTTATCACATTTTTATCTATCTATCTATCTATCTATCTATCTATCTATCTATCTATCTATCTATTTTCTATCACATTTATATGCCAACTTTATCATCCAAGGAGCTCAAGATGGTGTACATGGTTCTCCTCCTCCCCATTTCATCCTCACAACATCCCTGTGAGGTGAAAAAATGTTGACTGACCCAAAGTCACCCAGTGAGCTTCACAGCTGCGTGGGGATTTGAAACCTGCTCTCCCAAGTCCTAGTCCAACACTCTAACTATTACGCCACACTGGCTTGTACCTTTTTCTCCCCTCCAAACTCCCAGTTTCTTTCATCCCTGTTTCCTGGTCATTCTACATTCACTTTTCCTGTAACCTCTTTTCCCTCTCACCCCCTTCTTTTCTACTTCCAGTTTATTTATCATTAATAATAAAATTTTAACCCTTCATGTCGCTTTCCAATTCCCTTCAACATCTCTTTTGGCTCTTTCCCCTCAGAAGAGGGAGACCTACCTTCCTTCCTTCCTTCCTTCCTTCCTTCCTTCCTTCCTTCCTTCCTTCCTTCCCTCCTTCCTTCCTCCCTCCCTCCCTCCCTCCCTCCACCCACCAAACATCTGTCTCCCAGCCACTTCTGCTCAGAATGCAAGGACCTTCTGCTGACAGCACAATCAAAAGGCTACAGCAAGGCCAGATGACAGGGCAGGCAAATGATGAGAGACAGGACAGGTTGTGGCACTGAGGCCCACCTCCACTGTTCGAGAATCAGTGCCATGAAAACACTGTGTTGAATAACAGACACACTACGCAAGACTCTTAACTGAGTAGCTTGGCCCTTGAGTGCATTTTCTTGAACGGGACCTTTGTGCAAGATTTTCTGAAAGCTTGGTAGGCAAAGGAGGCAGGTATTTGACAGGCTTCTTAAATACCACACAGAGAAATACAAAAATAGACCCACAACTCTTTGCAGGTGAAAGCCAGCTGTGTGAGCGGATTCTGTAGGTTTATAGCCCAAGGGCAGGAAGTGTTCTGGGGAGGAGGGGCATGGGGGAAAGTGCCTTTTCACTTGGAATTTTCTGCAGAATGACAACTGGAGAGGAAAGAAGCATTCCTTAGAACAATGCAAAGCAGACCGTGTGGCTTGCACAAGCTCTCCAGCTATGCTAATAAGCACCGAATGGATTCTCTACTCGTCTCTGCTCAAGGAATAAGTTAACTATGAAATTCCCATAAAGTACTGTTTAGTTGATGTATCTTAGTCTACAGTTGTTGTTGTTGTTGTTGCTGCTGCTGCTGCTGCTGCTGGGTTTATGGTCACATAGTCATAGAACTGTAGAGTGTAAGGAGCGACAAGGATCACTGTCCTAGTCCAATTCCCTACAATGCAGAAATCTTTCACCCAACGTAGAGCTTGAACCCACAACATGGAGATTAAGAATCTCATGCTCTACCGACTGATCTAAGGGTGAAGACACTTTACAAATTAGCAGCCTGTCACCATCTGCCTTTTTTTGGGGGGGGGGAACCAAAACTTTAAAAAGTTTAAGTTACTGTAATCTAGAGTTCTGATGTATGGGGTAAACAAAAAAAGATTAAGTATCCTGAACAATCTACTTGCAACGATTCCAGACAACCAGATTCCTGCCACGCAGCAGGACAGAGCAGCTTTCAGGCAGCACCAGAAAAGATGAAGGCAGGAACTGGGAGCCTGAATGGTGCTGCAAGGCTTTTAACCTATTGGCCCTAGCAGGGTGACATTGGGGTTCTGCTTCAGGCATCTTGCACCAGCACTTCAGAGAGCATTCCATCATGCAGGAAAATTGGTGGCAGCTGAAGAAGAGGCTGTGTTTTGTGCTGGACAATATAGTGCAGGCACAGGCAAACTCCGGCCCTCCAGATGTTTGGGACTACAACTCCCATCATCCCTGACCACTGGTCCTGTTAGCTAGGGGTGATGGGAATTGTAGTCCCAAACATCTGGAGGGCCGGAGTTTGCCTATGCCTGATATAGTGAAATGGGCTCGTATGCAACTAAGTCCATGGAAATTAATGAACCTAAATGAGCTGTGTCCATTAATGTCAATGGATCTGCGTCTGCGGGTTGTTAAATGAGTTTCCTAATATATCTAAGCCTACAGGCAGCAACAGCCTCCCGGCAGAAGGCTACATACACGGAAGGGGAGGGGAAAGGTGGCAGGTGAGGTTGGGGATCCTTGACGCACCAGTGGAGCTACTCTGGCGTCTCCACCAGAGCAGCCATGCAGCCATGGCCTTGCCCTCTCCCTCTTAGTAAAGTGGCAGTAACACTGCTGCCAGGAGGACATAGCTGAGGGTCACCCCACTGAGGGAGGTGCTCCTGTAGGTTTCTATAACCAAAGGACATTTTCAAGGAATCCAACTGAAAGGCAAGGCAAAGCAGGCATTTGTAGCATAATCATTTCAAGTACATTTACTGGCTCTTACAGTTGGAGAGGAATCTAGCTCCATCAAACAGGTCTATTTCAGTCACGGTATGAAAAACATTTAGAGACCAGAGGTATCTATAAATAAAAAATAATCAGAAGATAAGGAACTTGGTTTTATTAACATTTATGCATTGTAATATATTTATGCACTATTACCTTCATTTCATGGTTTATTCAACATCACAAAACGTAAGAACAAAGGAAACTGCTTTATACTGAGACAGGCCATTGGCTGGCCGGGATTAATACAGTCTACAATGGCTGAATGAAGCTCTCTGAGGTTTCATGCATGAGTATACTTCCCTCATGCTGTAATCCTGTGCCTGATATACCTGGGAGTAAAGTCCCATTGAGCTCCTTCAGACTTACTTCTGAATAGACATGTCTAAGATCGCTCTGCTAATATATAATTTTAGAAGCCTTTCTGCCCAGATGCAGATTTTTTATTTATTTTTTTAAAATCAAGGTATGTCTAGGGTGGATTGATTTAAATCATCAAGAAAGGAATCTGAAATCATTAATCAAATTATTTAAAGATCTAGTTACTTATTTAAATATTTCCTAAAATGAAGTGCACGCTAATTGCTTAAGGTAACCACATTGTTTGATAACTGGAGTACTAACTGAGCAAATTGCAGCGATCAGTTAATTTCCGGGCATCAAATAGGATTCAAATGTCAATAAGATAGATTGGAGGATAACACCTGTGGTGATGTGCCCCACAATTCTTTCTTGAAAACAGCATTTCAAAAGACGGCTATTCATTCATTTTTATGAAGGTTATATATAAAAGGTCAGATTTAATTTTCAAACATGCTTTTTTAAAAAAGAAAAAAGAATATTATAGCAGGAATTTTAAAAATCCAAATTACATGTTAATAAATGATGGTGATGATGATGTGTCTGTGTATTATTTATTCCCTAAGAACACAGGTGGCACTGTCGTCTAAACCACTGAGCCTAGGGCTTGTCGATCGGAAGGTCACGGTTTGAATCCCCGCGACGGAGTGAGCTCCTGTTGTTTGGTCCTAGCTCCTGCCCACCTAGCAGTTCGAAAGCACGTCAAAGTGCAAGTAGATAAATAGGTACCACTCTGGCGGGAAGGTAAACGGCGTTTCCGTGCGCTGCTCTGGTTTCGCCAGAAGCGGCTTAGTCATGCTGGCCACATGACCCGGAAAATCTGTTTGTGGACAAACGTCGGCTCCCTCGGCCAGTAAAGCAAGATGCGCACTGAAACCTCAGAGCTGTTCGCGACTGGACTTAATTGTCCCTTTACCTTTACCTTTAATCAATTGTATATGTTATTTAAGAGTACATTCATTCTGTGCATTTCTGGTAGTGAAGGAATGATTCTGCAGTTGATTCATTCTGACCCCATATCACTGTGGATGCACACACTTAATGCACTTCACATGAGTATGTTGTGAAATCCTGGAACTGCTCTTAATACCCAAACACACACCAATCATCCTTTGTGTATAGCAAGAAAAGCCACTTCAGGAGAGGGCAATTGGGAGCCCATTGTTATTTCCTCACTCCAAATCATCTCCCAAGTTATTTGAAAATCCCATGTCAGTGGAGATGAAAGCTGCCCGGAAAGGGATTTGGAATGGAGAATGGTTAAATATATCCCAGCAACACTTCAAGTCACCCATTCCCCAAATGGCTTTTCCTGGTTGTTGTTGTTTTTAATTGCCCTGAAGGAGAAATCCAGCTTCTCTGTGAAGTACAGTGCTGCTGCAACTACAGTGGAAGATACAAACTGAAATGGAATAAGTGCAAAGAGATTACTAGTTCAAGCCCTTTTCAAAAGCACAGCGTCCCCTCCAATAGTTTGCATTTGCTATCATGCAATTTTATACTGCATGCAGCAGCTGCTTGCATTCCTACTCACTTATCATAGAATGAAGGAATTTTCGGACTATAAAAATCTTCCACATCAAAGAAATTCCTACTTTCCCAGGAAATATCAGATGCCTATTGGGAAACAAAAACAATTAAATAATCTTCAGAGACAGGTACCGGTGTGTTCTGAAAAATCAGTACTACTAGACATTGGAATATAAGGGTTGATTAAGAGCACGTATAGGATTTCTAAAAGGTGCAGTGCTATAAATTGACTTATTTATTTGGAATCTGGATAACTCAGAATTTGATACTGGAGTAGAGGATCTTGGTTTTTGTTTTCATTGTCAGGGATGAAAATAAGTGGAAAGACTATTTTAGGCTGTGCCTATAGCAGATGATTTGGTCCTTTCTTAGTATTGCAATGCCAGCGCTACTAGCCATTCTACAGATGGGCAGTTGGGCAAACACAATGGAGGCTTTCCTTCAAGGATGTAACATATACTGTAGACGTATAGAGTCATTTAAAAGTGGGGATGTATCTATTGTAGCGCTAGATATAGAGGACAATGCTTTTGTAAAGAATATAAAAATGCTGTTCAAATCATGTCATCGTGGGGGAAAGTCTGCATTCGACTCTCCTATGTCAGAGAATAACAACGGACTTAATTAAAAAGCATGCAAGTGGGTGGGTGTTGTCACACTTCCTTAAGAATTTCAGAGTTAATCAGAACAGAAACACTAGAAATGTAATCATATGTGTAGAAGTCAAGAGATGGCTTCTTTAATGATTGCATGAACCACTGAAATCCTGAAAAGAAACGTGAGTGGGTTCCAGTAATGCACAGATTTCACAGCCACTGTCTTATTAATATTACACACAGAGAGAAAAGATTTTCAATATCTGACAAGGAAACAGAACCAGGCTACATAACATTCTATCCACAGTAAATACAGTTATCACATGAAAACCTGAATGTATTAAATTGCTACTGCTGGCTATAGCCTTACTAGTCACATAGGTGATTAGCCTGCCATATCACAGTCATCATACATAATCACAAACAGTGCTTGTTTCTTCACCCTCAATGCGGAGCTGTGTGGTGAAGAACATGAAATTGATAGGGATGGAAACAAGAGGTGTGCGCCGAGCACGAGATTTGGTTCCAACTCCCACTCAACAGTCTGAAAAAAACAGCCTCAGACAGTAGAAACCAATTTTTGAGTCTCCAATTTGGCTCAGGGTCACAAAACAAATCCCAATTCAGAAAAACAAAGCTTTGTGGCCCTCCAATTCACTATTATCATTATTATAATTATTGTTTTAATAGAACTATAACTTCCCCAGCTTACTGACAGTAATGAGTGAGATCTATAGCTGAATAGCCCCTAGCAAGTAGCTAAAGTCTGTCAAATTACATACTAATAGGTCCAGTGGTTTGTTTTTTTGTGCTAGACCTTTTTTCAGAATTGGATAAAATCTGGTAGCCCCTTCGGAGGCAATTACGAGGCAAACCAATGAAAACCATAAGTTCCAGGAGAATGCCATTTACCTTTTCATGATCTTTATTTTTCTTCGGAGGAGGCAGTTTCCCAAGGGAGTTTAAAATAGCTCCCCTTAAGATCATAGTGCAAATATGAGATGAATTCAGCTTGAAACTAAAGTTCAAATCAGTAAGGGCTCTCATTTTTTCTTTTGCTGAGCTCCATGCAAGAGCTCTGATACAGTACACATCCTAGGAAATAAAAAGTATAGCAGTCAGCAAAAACTGGAAAAAAGGTGTTTTGTCTAAATGACAGCTTAAATCCACAGGAAGCTTAAACTACCAGGTTCAAATCCCCACTCAGGGATGGAGCTCACCTTAGGAAAGTCAACACAGGAAACTGTCTTATAATCAGTCAGATCATTGGTCTGTCTAGCTCAGTGTTTCCCAACCTTTTTTGGGCAAAGGCACACTTGTTTCATGAAAAAAATCTCGAGGCACACCACCATTAGAAAATGTTAAAAAATTTAACTCTGTGCCTATATTGACTACCGTATTTTTCGCCCCATAGGACGCACCGCCCCATAAGACGCACCTAATTTTTTTGGGGGAGAATAAAGAAAAAAAATTTTTTCCCCTCCCCAGGCACGGGGCAGGCGCGGGGGAAGCCCAAGCTTCCCCCGACCCCAGAACAGCCTGATATCCGCAAGCCTAGGGAGCCACACTGGTCTCCCCAGGCTTGCGGAGAGGTGCGTGAAGCCCGGGGGCGCTCTTCAGCGCGCACCAGGCTTCGGGATGCAGGCAGCTCTGCGCTACCCTCCAGAGCCCCGTGCGGCTTCGCGCTGGGATCCGGGGGGTGGCCCGGAGCTGCAAGAAGCCCTGGAGCGCAGGCAGCTCCGCACCACCCTCCGGAGCCCCGCGCGGCTTCGCGCCAGGATCCAGAGGGTGGTGCAGAGCTGCAGGAAGCCCTGGAGCCCAGGTAGCTCCGTGCCACCCTCCGGAGCCCCGCGCGGCTTCGCGCCGGGATCCAGGGGGTGGCGCGGAGCTGCAAGAAGCCCTGGAGCGCAGGCAGCTCCGCACCACCCTCCGCAGCTTCGCGCCGGGATCCGGGGGGTGGCGCGGAGCTGCAAGAAGCCCTGGAGCGCAGGCAGCTCCGTGCCACCCTCCGCAGCCCCGCGCGGCTTCGCGCCGGGATCCGGGGGGTGGCGCGGAGCTGCAAGAAGCCCTGGAGGCAGGCAGCTCCGTGCCACCCTCCGCAGCCCCGCGCGGCTTCGCGCCGGGATCCGGGGGGTGGCGCGGAGCTGCAAGAAGCCCTGGAGCGCAGGCAGCCCCGCGCGGCTTCGCGCCGGGATCCGGGGGGTGGCGCGGAGCTGCAAGAAGCCCTGGAGCGCAGGCAGCTCCGTGCCACCCTCCGCAGCCCCGCGCGGCTTCGCGCCGGGATCCGGGGGTGGCGCGGAGCTGCAAGAAGCCCTGGAGCGCGGGCAGCTCCGTGCCACCCTCCGCAGCCTCCTACGGAGGGCGCCCCGTGCTCCGCGCTGCTGGCTGCCGCCCGCAAGCCTTGCGCGCCGGGGGGGGAGTTCCCCCAGGCGCCCAAGGCTTGCGGACAGCTGCGCGAAGCACGGGGCGTCCTCCAAAGGGCGCCCCGCGCTCCGCGCTGCAGGCTGCCGCCCGCAAGCCTTGCGCGCCGGGGGGTGAGTTCCCCCAGGTGCCCAAGGCTTGCGGACAGCTGCGCAAAGCACAGGGCGTCCTCCAAAGGGCGCCCCGCGCTGCAGGTTCCCGCCCCCCCGCCCCGCTTCGGAGCCTCTCCCGCCTCCCTCCCACGGCACACCAGGCAAGGTCTCACGGCACACTGGTGTGCCGCGGAACACCGGTTGGGAAACACTGGTCTAGCTGTCTAGCTCAGTATTGAGTGGCAGCAGCTATCTAGGTTTTCAGGGGGAATGCCCAGCTCTACCTGGGATTCAACCTGGGATCTTCAGCATATTACTACTGCCCCTCACCAGAAGTCACTACTTTTCAGCTCCTAACTTACTTCACAGGCCTCCCACAAAGATGAAATGGCTAAGAGAACTGCGTAGATCACAGACAGGCTACAAGGGCAGCATTACTCCAAACTGTACAGTTCGAAACAGCTTACAATAAAACAATTATTTATATATAAGTTCTACAAACACAAATCACACGATGATTAAGATAAGAAATAAACAGAGAAAACAGCTGAACTGGTCTACTTTAAAGGAACACTTCAATGAAAGGCACAAGAGAACAGCAGCCTTCCTTCTACCAGCACCCGTCACAGTAGGAAGACATACCTAGAGAAGATGTTCTCCAGGCATCCCATGGCCACAGAAATGGTCCTCTATGCTTCTCTACATTCCTCACCTCCAAATAGAGGAGGAAACAGAGAAGAGCCTCTGCCACTGATTTAAGGTGATGAGCAGGTCCAATATTTTTGATAGCTAAGACCCAGCCAACTGAAGAGTGTTAGAGGTTAAAACTAGCACTTTGGAATGTACCCAGAAACTAACTGAGAGCCAGTGTGGATGCAAACTGTGGTGAGATTATGACTGAAGCCACACCATTGCATTTTAAACCTTTCTCAAACTGTGGTCTGTGAGCTCCAGATGATCCACGTTAAGGCTGCATAACTGCCAAGAATATCAAGACTTCATCCTGGCATGGACCAGTTGCAATGATAGCGATAGAGAGTGCTTTGACAAGGGGCAAATCATCACATAGGGCAAAGACGCCCCAGTCTTTATTGATTTCTCTAATATGGTGCTGGTACAGACTGCTACTTTTTCCTTTAAAAAATCACCAGTTGAAAGGGCGCTTCTCAGCAGCTTGGCCTCAGGTCTATGGCGATGCCAGCATGGATTATTCATCCATTGCACTAAAAAGGCAAGCGGTTATTAAAATATGAATTATGTATGTGCTTTGATAAGTAGAACACCAAAAAAATTATTAAGAGGTTCACCAAGAGCCTCAGGAATTTCCAAGTGGTCTGCAGGGGGGCAAGGAGTTTGGGAACCACAGATTTAGGAAGTATTATTAATCCAGTGTAAGCACTGCATGTGGTTTTACATTGTTATACATCTTGCTGTTAGATTTCTGAGAACAGGGCAATCAATGTGGATTAAGGCAACTCCGCGCCAGAATCCTGAAGGTAATAAAGGAGTGTTAACAGTCAAGAATGATGTATTGTAGGCCTCTGTGTGAAAAGAAACAAAAGAAGCTTCAGATTTGACTAAGACAGACAGAGAAACATACACAGAGAAAGAGGAGTTTGTAATTCCTTTATAAGCTAACAGCATCAGGAGATTCAGAGCTGCTTCTCTCTGGAGATCAGATGAAGGGTGGTAGATTTGGTTGGCTGATAGGAATGTTAAAGATGTACCTCCTCCTATACCCAACCTGTATATCTGTAAATAAACTAAAACATTACAAAACACTGTAAGCATCCAGTGTCCTTCTTCCAAAGGAAACCAAATTCAGCTACATGCTGAGCCCTGGAATTTTTCATCACTCAAGATAAACAGGGAGAGTGCAACTATATGTTTGTGCTCAAGTAACAGCAAGTTCTACTAGATTCAGCTTGTGTTTATATACTCAGTTTTATGGTGCAGCAGTCAAATTTTTACCAAATCGTGAAATGGCTTTGTGTAACTGAGCCCTTGGACATGGATGCTTGCTTCAACTCTTCATGAGTCTGCAAAGAAATTCGTGTATTTATTTGGGCTTACCTCTTAAAAATATGGCACAATTTCCCCGACCAATAATCTTAAAATTCTACAAGAGTATAAAGTGTACATACAGTGAATCCTATAGTTACACGAACCACAGCATTACTACTTACAGGATTCATGGGGTCTAAATCCACAGCTCTTGTAGCATCACATATTGCTTTTTTGATTTTGCCTAGGAACAGAGCAGAGAGAGTTTCTTCTATGACTAGCAACCACCACAAAATATTATATCAGGCTTGCTGCTTTTCATTAGTGCACATACAGGCCTGGTTTGCACATCACATTTAATTATAATTAAGAACAACCTATAGTTTAGTATGAATGCACTATGTACTTGGGCATGCTGGTGAAAAGCTCTTCCTTCCTTCTTCCTCTGCTCCTGCTAAGCTGCCACATCTGAACCTGGTTCAAGGTTTGTTTCTTTCCAAACAAACCATAAGCAATAAGCCAAGAACCAACCTGAGTTACCACTAGTAGTTTGTTTGGAAAGAAACAAACCATGAACGAGGAGCAGAGTGCAAACTTCTCGGCAGCATGCACAAGAATCCTGTACATTTGCATTAAATTATGGTTTGTTTTTAACAACTGTTTAATGTGGCATGTGAAACGGGCCACAGCCTTACTAATATAACTCAGCATGAAGGCCAACTGATAACTTTAGCAAGCAACCAATCTCTATCATTGCAAACTACATTTTGTTACTAAACCCAAAGACAAGGCTACCTGTAGGGCCAGAAAATGTTGAGTTGCCATCCAGCTGGCTGGCATGTACTGTAATGCTAAAATCAATGGTTTAGTGCTATGTAAACAAGCTGGAACAAGCCCAACAAAACCTTTATCTCACCTACCTATCTTCCTCCTGCAAAGAGAATGACTTCATTATTATTTAGAATTATTATTATTATTATTATTATTATTATTAAATTTGTATACCACTTTTCTGAGCCACAATTCAGCATCTTTTGCAAAGCACAAAAAAGGCTTCCCATTTACTTGTAAATGTACCTGCATAAATCTATCAGAATGTTGATAATGCAGTTACTTGATCCATTTAAGAATGTGCATGTGTAAATCTGCCTCAGTTGTCTGTCTCCATGTAAACCATTCCAATGCAAATTCTATCAACGCTGCTAGATGTTTTGGTTCTTTCAGCTCATTGTGTTGTTTGAAGCAAGCAAAAAATGCAGGAAACCTGCCATCTTGCTTTGTTGCTGCTCAGGTAAACTATCAATTACATGCCTAAATGGGCACATAATTGGATTTCCGTGCACAGTAATCTAGTCAACAGGTGGTGCTGAAGGAAAGATTTTCAACTTATTTTCCTAAATAAATACAAACATGTCTTAGTTTTGGATTTGATATCCCGCTTTATCACTACCCGAAGGAGTCTCAAAGCGGCTCACATTCTCCTTTCCCTTCCTTCCCCACAACAAACACTCTGTGAGGTGAGTGGGGCTGAGGGACTTCAGAGAAGTGTGACTAGCAACAAGGTCACCCAGCAGCTGCATGTGGAGGAGCGGAGACACGAACCCGGTTCCCCAGATTACGAGTCCACTGCTCTTAACTGCTACACCACACTGGCCTGCAGGCATTTGTTTTTACTTAAACAGGCAAGAATGTTTTTCTCTATGACTAGGTTGAACTGGGCACAGTTTAACTTAAGCTTGGCATAAGGTTGAAAGTGAAGCCTCATTTTTAAGGGAATCCAAGATCTGTAAAATATGGCATCTTAACAGAGCTGGATTGGTTTCGGACTAATTGCAAAACAGGCTTCAACACTGAAGTAAGTGATTGAAATAGACAGGTAGAGGGGTTTTTAGAGAGAGAGGGATCCTACCTCCTTAACGATTCTGAACTTACATTACAAAAATATCAGCCGGTTGAGGTAAGTTGGCAATTGGGGGGAAAAAAAGGATTGATTTGAATTGATTGATTTCAGATTGATTGGTTTCAGAAACAAAACCCAAAGTATCTGCCCAGGATTCAGTGCACAGATGTCAAATCCCAGAGACACTAGGAACACTGACGATTCACAACAGAACACAGGATGCATCATAGCAAGAAACAGAACATGTATGCAACTCTGTGAAGACCTTCAGATGAATGTATACAGCCTAGGGGAGGTAGGGTCACAGTTGGTGTGATCCCAATCCGCCCACTACCTGTTGATTTTCACTGAATTTAGAAGAACATCTGCCTTTGGCACGTAAGACAGACTCATAACACTGTAGAATCCAAACTCAGATCTTATCACGCTGTTCCATAGTGATGCCAAGGCGGGTAGAATATATTTCAATTTGACTTATTACTTTTCCTGCACAAGCATGCTTATTGAGCTTGGCTACAGAAGCAATATGTCTTACCGCATTTTACATATGCATAAGCTCTCCTCGCAAACGCAGGTGTCTGGTAGTAAGATCCAGAAACACAGCCAACATGACAGACACTCTGGAGAAAAGAGGATACTCTTGTGAGCTGCAATATTATTATATTTAATACAGCCCTGCAATGTGATCTACACAGCTATGCCACATAAACACTGCCATTGTGAATCTAATGGAATTCTTGAGCCATTCACATTAGCTCCATTGCTCTTTTATTTATTTCAAATTACTGCTCTTATTTACCTCAGCAGGGTTCTATGAGATTACTCCCCAGACTGTTCAGACTCCTATGGGGATGATTTATGTCATCATTCCAGTGCAGTGTTTCCCATAATTGTACTGAGTTTAAAAAACATTAGAACCCAAGGGGCTAGACAAGGAACTATAACATTAGCAGCATGCTCATATAAATCAATTTATTCCCTTGCAGAGAAAAAGGAACGGAGACAGAATTTAATGAGATTGTATGGGAACTACAAAGGCACCAACAACACTTATAATAACTTATAAATAGATCACAGAAATAAAATTTGAAGGCAAAACAAAGCACACTCTCATTTTTCCATAACTAAGAGTGCAATGCTAGATGCAGAAGCATGTCTGAGAGTATATTAAGTTCAACAGTAGTTACCTGGGTGTTCCGCTTAATGCAATGGGACTTACCTCCAGATAAGTATGAACAGGACTACAGTGGTACCTCGGGTTACAAACACCTCAGGTTACAAACACTTCGGGTTACAACCTCCACTAACCCAGAAGTAGTACCTCGGGTTAAGAACTTTATCTCAGGATGAGAACAGAAATCGCACGGCAGGCCCCATTAGCTAAAGTGGTACCTCAGGTTAAGAACGGTTTCAGGTTAAGAACGGATCTCCGGAGCAAATTAAGTTTGTAACCGGCAGTACCACTGTACAGCCTTTGGACAACAAGAGAGTTAAAGGGGTGCTAAAGGAGGAAAATGAGATTGCAGAGAAGCTGAATTAATTATTTGCATTTGTCTTGACTAAAGAAGACGTACAGAAGATCCCTCAGCAAGTCTGAAGAACTGAAGCAAATAGTGGTGAAAAAATGAAGTTTTAGGTATCACTGACAAATTCAATATAAACAAATGATCACGTTCAGCTGTTATCCATCCAAGAGTTCTTAAAGAACTCACATGTGAAACTGCTGATCTTCTAACAAAATCTGTAATTCATTCCGATTACTTCCCTTTGTACCTGAGAACTGGAGAGTGGCCAATGTAGCACTATTTTTTTTAAAAAGGATCTTGTGGGGGAACAGCTGCCATTTGTGAGGAAGCCTCCCCTATCACTGCATCTCTAGAAAAAGATTACCTTGTTGAGTTTCCACCATACAGCTGTTAAAGGCACAATAAAAAAATTTCCCACAAAGCCATCTCTAAACCAAAGCCTAGGCTGCCATCATGCATCCGATTATTTGGGAGTGAAGTCCCATTAAACACAAAGAGACTTACTTCTAAGTGGGCATGTATATACCATTGTACTGTGAGTTAATTATGAAATGAATTCTTAATGAAAGCCTGGTCTTTGGCACAGCAGGAAACATGCCTAAGCTCTTTGCAAAGTTTGCACATTTTCCTTTTTGAAGGAAGAGGATTTCTAAACATCCACCCACACTTTCTGTGTAATATCTGCAGAAGATAACTTCTATGGATCACCTGATCTCAGATTAAGATGCATTTTGGTTGCTAGAGGGACAGGGAAGGCAAACTATCATGGCCTGGAAAATAAGACAGAAGTAGGAGAAGGGCACTAAAGGGGAGGAGAAAACAATAAAGATTTCTATTGCCTGGTGTTCACTTATCAATCACAGCTCTCACATCACTCATTGGCTAGAAACACTGACAGGTGGGAGTAGCCAGGATGGCTCATTTCACAGAAATTGCTTAGAAGGGTATCTGCACATTTTGCTGCATAACTTTCTTTCTAGGACAGCTAGACATTTACTTTAAAAAAACCCAAAAAACTAAAGCCCCAATGCCTACATAATGTCTAATCAACATACTAAATAACATTATCAACACTACTTAAGTGACTCTACAGCAGTGGTTCTCAAACTTTTTTTCTCTGTACCATGCTTTCAAAATAAAAATGTGCTAACACAATGGTGTTATATTGTGTTTTGTTGCACTACAATTTGTATTCTATGGAATTCAAATTGAAATATGATAAAATATATACTAAATAAAAGAAGCAATAAAGATACAATTACAATTCATATAGTTTCTAGCATAGCACATTACAATTGGTACAACAAGCAGATAAAATAAAGCAATTTGCCAAGACTTTGAGCAATTTTCGATTTGTCAGGGGGGGGGAGTTTGGGAATAACTACGGCATAAAATATCCAAATATTTTGAGAAATTAGTTCCTGCTAAGAGTCGCCAATGCCAAAATACTCATTTAGGTGTTAGTTCTCATGTGATGTACAGTAATTGTTAAATGTTACCACAACAGTAGCTTGTTAACCTAATTCCTCCTAATCATGGGGTGAATAGTATGCTATTTAAAAATTAAGTATGTGAACAATACATCTAAAAATGCATTCCTTTGATTCATTAAACTTCTCAAAAGGTAACAATTAAATGAAAACAATATGTTTCTCTCCCTACAATACAGAACCACTGTACAAATTGTACACATAATCCAAATGTTACGGAAGTTCCATACCTTGGGGACATTTGCAGCTTCTATTGCATTAGTAAACGCTTCCACAGCATCGCGGTGCAAATCTAATTTTTGGAGAGCAACACCTAGATGATAATAGGTTTCAAACACCTAAAATAAAAGAACCAGGATAGCACATTATTTATAATATTTTAGTACTGGTATGATTAAAACAGCCCCAGAAGTTCAAAATAACGAGTAATACCCACTATAAGAAGATTTTGTGCTATGAAATAAGAATGCAACCAGGACTATTGGGAGTAATAATCAAGAATGACTATTCCCCCAATGTTTAAAAGACAATTTAAATAGATTACAGGCACACACTCGCATTTACACGGGGGTTACATTTCAAGGTGGTGAACGTTTCATGTTGGTGAAATCACGTATAATTGAAACCCATTGAAAAAGCCTACAAACACCGTTCTGCTTCACCCAGTTCCATACTTGTAGTGATGTTTCAGTGACATCCTTATGACGTTTCTGGGTCACTTCCAGGTTCATCACAATGCACATATACATGGTCGCTCACATATTGAACACATGTAAGCTGGGGGCTGCCTGGATACCGTAAAAACAAAACAACCACCACAACAGCCATAGGAAGCTTTGGTACCATACTAATTATAAAAAATATCAGTCAATCAAAAACCAACCCATGCTTTACAGCCAAACCCACAAGTGTGTGCTTAATAGTGTGTGCGTTGGCCCTTTTTTTCTTTTAAATGCTAAACTGAAATTACCAGCCGTATACAGCTATGACCAGGAACATATTCTGCAGGAAACTTCATTTTGTTCAAGGAAGATAGCAGCTTTCTATAGTTTTCAATTGCCTGAAAATAAAAATAGCATAAGGACCTCAAGCTGGGGTGGAAATGTCCAAGCTTCTGCAAGTAACAAAATTTCTGTTTCAAAAACAAAAAGCAAGTCAGAGCAGTTGCTCCTTTTTGTTGTTGCAAGATTCATATGAATGAAATATAATTCTGTGTATATTTGTGTATATGTATACACACAACAGTGTATTTGTATCCAATATGACTCATGTATAAAGCACTCATTTAAAAACAGTACTATTAGAAAAGGAAAGGAAAATCACAATAGGCATCCCATTTCTCTCAAGCTCTGCCACACCCACTGGTGGAGGAACAGGGGTGCGGAGGGAGCCATCACAGCGGCCCCCCCAGACACGCGCCGTGCACTCCCCCCCCCGGGGCGCTGGGCGTCACGCCCCCCAGAACTTGCGTCACGCCCATGGGTGGTGCGCCACGCCCCCATGGGCTGCATGCCCCCCCCTGGATGCATGCCACACCCCGGGGGGGCGCCAGCTGCACCCCCGCCTGCTCTCTGCCCCCGGTAGCGGAGCATGCAGCTTCACCACTGGCCACACCATTGTGTCAAAGGAAGAAAAGAAATGACTGTAATTCTAAAAGGAATGCAAAAGTTTAGTGTCTCAGAATGGTGTGGTGGTTAGTGTTGAACTAGGACCTGGGAGACCAGGGTTCAAATCCCTGCTCAGCCATGAAGCTCACTGGTGGTGACCTTGGGCCAGTCACAATCTCTCAGCCTAACCAACCTCATAGGGTTGTTGTTGTCCATTTTCATCAGATTTAGGAGTTGTGCGACCCCAGAGCCATCTGAAGACTGCCATCTATAGGGAATTTTTTTTAATGTTTAACATTTTATTGTGTTTTTTATATATGTTGGAAGCTGCCCAGAGTGGCCAGGCAATCCAGTCAGATGTGTGAGGTAATAATAATAATAATAATAATAATAATAATAATAATAGATTAAAAGCGGTTCACAACAGAAAAAGGTAAAAACATGCAGTAAAAACGTACTAAAAAGTTCAAAATAGGCATCAGTTAACCAGTGTGGAAAGATGTATTCTTACTTATGGCCCTTTAAAATGTGGGGTGTGGGGTTTATTTTTGGGGGGGGGAGAGAGGGGGTCTTCATGTTGTTTTTATTTTGGTTATGTATGTTGTGGTTTTATATTTTGATTTTATTCTGCAAGCCGCCCTGAGACCTCCGGGTATAGGGCAGTATATAAATTCCATAAATGATAAAGATTAAGACGTCACTATTTAAAATGGAGAAATGACGTATGGAACCCTACGTCACACACAAACGAACGTGCAGCCCATCCAGCATGGAAACTAGGGTGGAACTTCTTCGAGGGGGTCAAGCCAGATGATTATATCCGGAACATAAATCCCCTCGAAGGTTTCCACAGCCACATTCGAGCGGTGGAGCCCGAAGGGTTCACCACGCGCAGCTTTGAGATGCGCGCCGTTACGCGCAGCTTTGAGAGGCACGCGCGCTCTCGCGCCCCCCGGGCAGCCGCCCTAGCGAGCGGGGAGGAGGCAGAGGCGCCCGTTACCTCCCGCCAGCGCTTGGCCCGCTCGCAGCCTATGGCCGAGTGCAGATACGTGCGCGCCTCCGTCTGGACGCGCCCCACTCTGCAGACGAGCTTGGAGACGGCGGCTTCGAGGTCGGCCTCGGCCACGTCCTCCGCCCCGGCGCTCTTGGCGAAGGCGGCGGGCTTCGTGCCGGCCGAGGGAGGCGCCGGGCTCCCGCTTTGCCGCCGGCTTTGCCGAGAGAGGCGCCCTTGCTCCATTGCGGTGGGCGAGCGAAACAGGCGAGCCCGGCGCGGCGCGGTCGCCATGGCAGCCTCCCCCCACGCGCTTCGGAGCCGCAGCCATGGAAACGGGCGGGAAAGGGGCCGGAGTAACGCACGGCACCGCAGCCCCCTTTCTGGGGTTCCTGTTTGATTGGGGGGGTGTCTTCGTTTTGCACCGTCAGAAATTGAAAGAACCCTATAAGTATCCTCATGACGTCTCCACCAGACGTCTGCATTCAATAAGGAGAGTTTGGGCCGCTTAGCAGGCAATGCCATTTTTTAAAAATTAAAACAATGGGAATATTTTTGCCTTTGCTGCAACGCAGATGGACGTGTTTTGCACGTGGGGGAATGTCTTGCAACTGCCTGTGTTATGTACTGAGTTGAATAGGATCCAAAAGGCAGCAGTCTGGTCTTAGAACAATAGGATTCAGAATGCAGCAGTCTGATTTGTCCTAGAACAATAGGATTCAGAATGCAGCAGTCTGATTGGTCCTAGAACAATAGGACCCAGAATGCAGCAGTCTGATTGGTCCACAGGAGCCACCCAATCCAGCTCCAGGTGGAAGTGAATCCACAACCTGATTGGCCTACAGGAGAATCCCATAATTAGCCAATCACGTGGGGCCCATTGTCTAAAGAATGTATATAAAGCAGACTTAATGGGGGAACTTCCATTCCTCACTACTATGAGCTGAATAAAGAGCATGAAATCCACTCGACTCCGAGAATGTTTCAACCTGCTTCTGACTTCCCTGTTGCCACCATTGGGGCAGGCGACTTGGGCGCAGCTACGCCTCTATGGGAGGGGGAAACACGCAGATGTAACGCATTAATATTCTTTTAATTTCTGCCGCCCGTCTGACTGCGTGTCTCCCAACTTTTGCGTGCCTTACTTCTGACTAAATGCGCCCAAGGCCACGCTGCTCCTCGGTGGATGATCATTCCATGTATGGCTAAGTTGTCTCTCGAGGACCGCGACCACAGAGTTACCAATGAAGAGGCCAGGGGAATTCATTTAATTCAAATTATCCTTTTCTGAAACAACGAGAAACCTTTTAAGTGACGTTTTTGCCTTTGCAGGCTTAGGAATAATTCACTCTGACGTTCTCTCTTGCAATAAAGTAACTGATTTTAATCGATACATACTAAGTTGTTATTCCAACTATATTTATTCAGACTGCCCTTTGTAATAAAAGTGATCCCCCCCCCCGCCCCATTTCTCTGCTGATGGCAGATTTCTGCCACCTAGTGGGTGAACTGTATGCTCTCCACTGGAATTCCGTGCAAACACTGGGTTTTCTGCAGACCTGTTTGTTCAGCATTCATTCTGATTTATGCAGCGGTTGACTGTTTACATATCACTCTGCAGCCATTGAGCTTTCGCCACTGGGTTTTGAAGCTGTGCATGCACAATATTAGCCACAAGCCACAGCTAGCCTGTGATTTCTGGAGAAATACTGCTGCTAGATAAGTTTCCCCAATAATCAGCCTCTAAATAAATAACTTAAGTCACATTCACTTCACAGTCAAGTTGAGGTTCATACATTTGAAACAGGTGTTGTGCATTATATGCAGAATACAGCTTCAGGAATAGGAGGTTCAGGCGGAGGGGGTTGCACGGTTAAGAAAACCAAATCCCACCCCTTCTCTGATGTGCACAAAACATGCAGGTGTGACTTGAAACATCAAAAGGATGAGATTGCATTTTAAGGTGCTAATGTGTACATAGCAGTAGTCTGAACGTTAGTTCTCATTTGTTTACCACAGGCATAGGCAAACTCTGACCCTCCAGATGTTTGGGACTACAATTCCCATCATCCCTAGCTAACAGGACCAGTGGTCAGGGATGATGGGAACTGTAGTCCCAAACATCTGGAGGGCCAGAGTTTGCCTATGCCTGGTTTACCAGGTGGTATGACAATGAGCATTCATCCTGATTTACTTACAAGGAGTTTACACATCTTCTCAATTCTCATCTGTTTCAATGGATTTTTCCATCGCTTTCCAAACTGCAAAGAGTCCTGTTTGTGTTTCTTTGCTTTTGTTTTTAATTTGTTGCACATAGGTCCCTCCCCCAAACCTTGAAAGTTCAGGCACCCATTCAGTTTTCTGGAGACCAGCTGGTAAATGTCCTCATGTGACTCTGCTCATGCAAATTTTCCAGTATGAGAATAGGAAGAGCCACTTCCATACAGTGAGTGACTGCAAGGAAAGCCATTAACTTGAATGGCTTGTAAAGGCAACACTAAAAGTAGAAGCATTTGTGTTGAGCTCAGGTTAATATCAGAGCATTAGGAGAGAGTTGAAGGGCACCTTTTCATGCTACTTTGGTACTCAAGTGCAGAATGCAAACAATGTCTACTGGGCATAAAGGTAAAGGTAAAGGTACCCCTGCCCGTACGGGCCAGTCGTGTCCGACTGGGGTTGCGTGCTCATCTCGCTCTAGAGGCCGTGAGCTGGCGCCGTCCGAAGACACTTCCGGGTCACGTGGCCAGCGTGACGAAGCTGCAGCTGGCGAGCCAGCGCCAGTGCCGCACACGGAAACGCCGTTTACCTTCCCGCTATAAAGCGGTCCCTATTTATCTACTTGCACTTAGGGGTGCTTTCGAACTGCTAGGTGGGCAGGAGCTGGGACCGAACGACGGGAGCTCACCTCGCCGCGGGGATTCAAACTGCCGACCATACGATCGGCAAGTCCTAGGGGCTGAGGTTTTGCCCACAGCGCCACCCGTGTCCCCCTACTGGGCATACATGTGCATAAATTGCTACTTTTACCCTTCAAAATATATGGCACTGGGAGGCATTTATTTCCTGTTTATTTTTTTCATAGATTCCATGCAGCGCGCCTTCCCGCTGTTCCCCGACCTGGTTTGGAGGCTGCCAGCCCCACAGGCTCAGGGGACAGATATCCGCAAGCCTGGGGAGACCGGCAGGACTTCCCGCCGGGCTCCCTAGGCTTGCGGATAGCAGCCTGTTCTGGGGGCTGGGGTCAGGGGAAGCTCGGGCACCCCCCGCCCCAGCCCCACGCCTGGGGGGGAAAATAAATTTCCCCCCTTTATTTCCCCCCCAAAAAACTAGGTGCATCCTATGGGCCGGTGCGTCCTATAGGGCGAAAAATACGGTAGTTTCAGACACTTAAGGGGCACCAGGTCTTCTTCCTGAAAAGCAACCAGCAACAAACACAACATAACAATTTGGTTTTGAAACAGGATATAGTCCAAAGCTGCTGCTTATATGGCAAAGCAGCCTGCTGTTCAATTTTTTTTTTACACAAGCAAAATAGGAAAAAAATACAGTTCCATTGGGCATTGCCAAGCTTCTTTATATGCCTGAAGTCGCTCCTTGGATTCCACCCAATGTTAACATTTATAAACTATGCATCTCAATTAAATAAAAAAAAATCACATGTGAAAACTCCCTAAATGTTTGTGTCCTTGCTTTTAAATAACTCATGACCACCAGGGGTCCTTCTTCCCTTAAAGTGCACAATACAATATATTCAGCAATATTGCCTCACATTACAGGACAGTTTGCCACCAGGGGAAAAAAACTTTGCATAGTGGTTTTGCTTTGGTTTTGCTTTTAACAGAAACTAGATACAGGACATTAACAACCTTCAAACACCAAGTTGACAGCAAAACACTTACTGTACAATGTTAGGCATTTTAAAATGGATGGCCTGTCCCATTTTGTCACTAGAGGCAAAACAAGGTACTTTCCCTTCCCCGCCTCCATCTCTTGCCGCCCCCTCAGTGAGGTCTTGCTTACGGGGTCACAGGTGTGTGGCTTCCAGGTTCCCGCAAAAGGTCTGCAAGGTCTTGCCAGAAGCCACAACAGCTTTTCCTTACTTCTTTGGTGGTGGCAGTAAAAGGTGGTGGGTGGCATCCATGGCGGCGCCAGATAACTATGGAGAAGCGGTGGCGAGCTCTCATGAGAACTGTGATATTTCATGATATCTTACCAGAAGCCACCACCGCTTTCACTTCTCTGGCGGTGGCAGAGGTGGACTGAGCGCTTTTGTGGCGCCACCCCTTGGAATTTTGCCACCTGAGGCAGTTGCCTCAATCTGCCTGATTGGTGGGACGGTATGTTCAGCATATTTTTCTGAGTATACTTGGAACAAAGGCCCAAATCAAAACGTCAGTGCTCAGAGTTTCCTGGGGCGAGGGAAAGCAAATGAAGTACAGTGGTACCTCAGGTTACATACGCTTCAGGTTACATATGCTTCAGGTTACAGACTCCGCTAACCCAGAAATAGTGCTTCAGGTTAAGAACTTTGCTTATGGATGAGAACAGAAATCGTGCTCTGGCAGTGGAGCGGCAGCAGCGGGAGGCCCCATAAGCTAAAGTGGTGCTTCAGGTTAAGAACAGTTTCAGGTTAAGTACGGACCTCTGGAACAAATTAAGTACTTAACTTGAGGTACCACTGTACCTCTGGAACAAATTAAGTACTTAACTTGAGGTACCACTGTACATCATAATTCCCAACAGCACTCCATGATGCAAAATCAGCATTATTTAGGCATTTACAGGCATAATTATGCCACACACTTAAACTGCCAATAAGTAATCCTGTCTTTGTTTCGGCGGCAGGATTAACTTGTGGCATAACTTCTTTGCTTGAACTATTAAGATTGCTTTTACATAACCTATCAGTGGCCCTGTATTTGCTAAGTCCTGCACCTCAACTTGGCAAGGTATTCATTAACTTATATTTACAAATTGCTTTTCTGGATCGGATTCTGCCCATGTAAAAGCATGCTGTAGGGAGAAAAGAGAAACATCCAGCTCTCTGGTGAATGTGTTTGGTGTCCTTTGCAACAGTTATACAGTACCTGAATATACCTGAAGGAGCGTCTCCACCCCCATCGTTCTGCCCGGACACTGAGGTCCAGCGCCAAGGGCCTTCTGGCGGCTCCCTTGCTGTGAGAAGCCAAGTTACAGGGAACCAGGCAGAGGGCCTTCTTGGTGGTGGCACCCGCCCTGTAGAACACGCTCCCACCAGATGTCAAAGAGAGGAACAACTACCAGACTTTTAAAAGACATCTGAAGGCAGCCCTGTTTAGGGAAGCTTTTAATGTTTAACAGACTATTGTATTTTAATCTTTTGTTGGAAGCCGCCCAGAGTGGCTGGGGAAGCTCAGCCAGATGGGTGGGGTATAAATAATAAATTCTTATTCTTATTCTTGTTCTTGTTCTTATTCTTATATTACTATCTGAACTGACAGCCCTGGAAGCATTGACAATCTGTTCAGCAGCAGATATTCTTGCCCACACCCATCAATGCACATAAATATTTTTAGGCTGGGCTCCTGTTCTTTCTTTTATGGCACACTATACTCCAGATTGTATGTGCTGTTCTCTAGATGACTATTTTTTACAGCTGATAGTCGGCTGCTCTTTGCAGAGTTGATTGTTACGTACAGGATGTACCGGTTGGTTTTTCAACAGTGGGCACTAAAGATCAAAGAAAATCTCCTGATAGCTGAGTATTGCTCTCCAGCTTTTGAAATGACATCCCCATCGGGAATGAGGAAAGGGAGCAAAGAGGCTGGGTGGGAGGGAGAAATTTGCAGTTTCAATTGTCATAGAGAAGCACAATGAAAAGGGATGAGAGTTTCTAGCTCACCTTAGCCAGATCTGGGGATACAGCCTACAGGCAAGTTGCACAACATGTTTTGCTTCCTGGGGACAATCCGATGCCACATCGGTGGCGCTGCTACTTGCTGAAAGAGCACTTATTTGCTGCCAGAATGCTCTGTTCACATGAAGCAAATATTGAAAAGATACCATAAATCTCCAGAGTATTCTTTCATCCCAAGAAAATTAACTCCTGTAGTTCTGCCCCAGAAACCATTTATCCCCACTTGGACAAGGATAGAGAGCTTATAACAATATGAAAATTCTTACTGTAGGAAATTGGACAAGATGACCTTCGGATCCAATTTGGTCCTTCAGTGTGCAGTGGTTATGTGATGTAATTTGCTCTCTTTTCGGCATAATCCCAAACTTCAGCTGATTCAGTGTTTTGTGCTTTAAGCTTATTAATGGTGCCTTGTCACTTTGCGGGCAAGCTATACTGTATTCCTCAGCCTGGATAAAAGTGGAGTGAAGGGTTGCTAAGGAGAGGATATAACTGGGAAACAAAAGAAAGCATCATTATTGATAAATGTTGAATGTGCCTTTCCACTCATCTGCAACATTGTACGTTCTTTGGAATTATAAATGGGCTACATGGATGCGAGTCTCATTCCTTTGGAACAAGCTCATTGCTATTCAGGACTTTAAATCAGTGCATCGTGAAGTGCATTGCAAACAGGGGCAAACCAGTCTAGAAGACAGCAAATAGTCAGGAAATGCAGTTTTATAAACCCATTCCTGAACTGAAAACGCTGGAGCTAGTTCTGATAAGCAAATGTAGTTGTTTACGATTCATCTCTGTATGTGAATCCTTTGTTATAAAGCTCAAACTGGCTGCAGACTGTAAACTGCTTGGATATTTTTCCTCCCCTTTTGGTAGGAAGCACTAACTGTAATGATGCCAGAGCTGGACTCTTAGCTAAGCACCTGATTTTTACAACGTTGAGTTGTCACGATTTCAGAAATACAGTATTTGATTCTGTACCTTCTGACAATGACTTTTGCTTTCTTTGGGATTGCATTTTCCTGGTGCTTTAGTTAAATGCTAGTTATACAAGATGTGAGCATGGCAGGTAAACCTCTACTCCATGGAGATATTCCCCATATACATGTCTGGTTGTCACTCATTTTGTGTAGTGTTAGTATACCTGTGGTGCAGCCAGGGGAGTCCCTGATTGCTGGCATGCAAACATAAAAAGCAAACACACACAAGAGCACTTCTGCGTTTCTGGAAAATTACCGCAGCAAGAGCCATGCACAAAAAGAGTCAATAGTGTCAATGAGGGCCAAGCTACATGTTACAATAAACATGATTTTTATAAAATAAAAGAGTGCTTAAAGCGTCCACTTTCATTTTGAAGAAAAAGCAGGCACAGGACTTCATCTGGAACGTGTTCTGAACCCAGAATGGGGACTGTTATGTATTCTGTGGTCTGTGTTTGCCTGAGCTTGAGTCTGGATTAAGGAGTCTGAGCTCCTGTGTTCTGATTCGATACATGATGTCCAATCACAGAACATTTCAGGATTTGGGCCTCTGCCATTGGCCCTTGAACTCTGAGTCAGGATTCGCAGCTTGGGAGTTTAGACACCCAATCAAGGGGGGAGTGGGAGTGGCCCAGGCTTTCAGAAATGTATATAAGCAGTTGCTTTGCCTCTGTTTCCCAGTTATGTGGTTCAATAAAGGTTCTTGCTGTTATCACTGGGTCTTGCCTCGTGGGAACTCACCTACACTTCGTTGGGATATGCAATTGGTTCCTGCCAATTTTTTTTACTCCCAAATGCTGTTTACTGCAAGTAGCGCATTTAGCGGGCAATAACATCTGGGAGGGGCTTTCAAAAGGATCTACCCAGTGCTATGTCTGGGATCAAGCAGCCTTCATTGAACAGATTAATCACTATAGATAGAACTTTCATATCACCAGATGTCATCTCAAACAATGCTTTTCAACAGAGATAATTCACACATTTGGCTGAGAGTCTTAAAGTGTTGAGAAAGCATGTGATGTATACACATGTGTGAAACCAGCCAAACATTTGCACTGATGCAAATCAAGGCTTGCCTTAATTGTATAATAATAAAAAAACCTAAAAGTGTGCTTTGCAAAGGAGTAAATCCCATCTACCTTCACTTGCAAATTTTATAACACAAGACAAAGCAGACACTTTATGATGTGCCACTATAAACATATGCAACTTTAGAGAAAGCAGATGCTAATTTCTATGTTTATACTGAACAAGAAATGGGAACCACAATACAGGATGTTGCGCCATCTGCAAGTGTCTGTAGGTGTGGGATCTAGATGCATCACCTCAAAATCAGACGTATTTTAAGTAAGTTCATCCATATAAATAACCAAAGGAATGAGCAGGAACCTATGCACCATAGTTCTAGAAATAAATGCTTAGCAGGCTTTTTAAAGTTCACTATTAAGAGTTATGGAGCCTACAGAATGATTGATAAAAAGCTTTGTTGCACAGATGTCAGGAATTAGGTAAGTATAATGAGAGTGGATTTTATTGCAAAAATGACACACTCTCCTGATCCTTCCAGCTGCTCAGTATTCCCTTAGTCAATAGCCTGGAGCTGGTTCCCTCGCTTGCTTTGTGCTGAAGTTTCCTATACTCCCCATCCATTCTGTCTGATTAAGGTATTGCAAAATCATGTCGTTTAATTCCTTAAGGTCATCAATGCTCTTCTTTTCTAGCACGATTTTTCTTGACACTTCATCCATCTTGTCTCCAGTGTGAACTATGGAAGAAAAGGCAATGTTTAAACCAGCACTCAGATTGTCAGGTTGAATATGGTTCATAATACAGGGAATTGCATAATCAGGAAATTGCACCCTTCTCCTCAGCAGGGTGAGGCAACCTGCTTCCAGGCACAATGAGTCGAGGCATAGGTGAAGGCTGAAATTAATGTATGAATGGTGAAGCAAGGTTTTAAGAACATTTACGTTTACAAGACTGCTGCATTTATGACTTTGCCATGTCCCAAGCAAAGTTAACTGTGCTTAAGAGTGGGGGACAGCAGCAAATATACGTTTTTATCATAAAATCATGACTAATAGTTTTTTTGGCATCCAAACGAACCCTGATCCACTGAGCCAAAGACTGTGTTCTTCTGCATTTATTTGATGTTCATCTCTGCCTTCCTGGAGTAACATTTCAGCAGTTCTCCGTATTAGGTAAAGGTAAAGGGACCCCTGACCATTAGGTCCAGTCGTGGCCGACTCTGGGGTTGCGGCACTCATCTCGCTTTATTGGCCGAGGGAGCCGGCGTACAGCTTCCGGGTCATGTGGCCAGCATGACTAAGCCGCTTCTGGCAAACCAGAGCAGTGCACGGAAACGCTGTTTGCCTTCCTGCCGGAGCGGTACCCATTTATCTACTTGCACTTTGACGTGCTTTTGAATTGCTAGGTTGGCAGGAGCAGGGACCGAGCAACAGGAGCTCACCATGTCGTGGGGATTTGAACCACCAACCTTCTGATCGGCAAGTCCTAGGCTCTGTGGTTTAACCCACAGTGCCACCTGCGTCCCTTATTAAATGACTTTAAAAATCCCCCATATTAAATGACTTTTTAAAAAACCCACAATATTATACATTTTATTATATCATGTGATTTATAATTTCAAAACATTGCCTTTGTATTACCGTTTGTGACAATCATAATTCCCAAATTCCTCTGAGTTCCTCCCTTTTCATGTATAGAATTTAGCCCACCTCAAACAAACTTCCAGCCAAAATCGCACCAACTGTACAATTTACACGCCCACATACTCCCATTCTCATTCTTTCCCATGCCTATCCTAGGAAAGTACAAAGGAGAGAGAGAAGGGGGTTGGAGAGGAACAGGAGAATCACATAGCATTTCTAAAACACCATATGAAGGGAGATCAAATTGCATTACCCAAGTCTCTTTTAATATAAACCACCTGTTCCCTCCCTACCAGTTGCAAAACAAGGCAATGTTGACTGGATGGTGGGTTTTAGATTTCCATTCACATAAGATCAGCTTCTTAGCTATTCACACAGCTTTAAACTAAAATACTTTTTTATTGCCACTGTGAGCATTGTTCGTTCATTCATTCATCTATTCATTTATCCATTGTGCCACATATCAAAGATGAGAGCATGCTACAAAACATATAGAGTCTAGGCCATTAAATTCCATCCTATCCTCCCCTTGCAATCGATATCGTAAGAACGAAGGCATGCTTACTTACCTATTAAGATTATTACAAAAGAAACTAGTGCCAAGCTGACAATTAAAGTAATGATCAATGTGACAAAGAACCAGCTTTGGCATCTCATGCTGTTTTGAATTGTCAAACACCTCCGACTGTGTAAGTTCTCTTCCCAGACTGCTGTAAAACAAAGACAAAATTCTAAGAGGAAAACATGCAATGGCCTTTGAGAATAAACATAGCAAGTTGGCTCTGGTTTTAAGAAGACAATAATGGGAAATGCTAATAATTTCTGAACTGGAGCCATGTATTCCCCCTGCTAAGTAATGCACCACCATCATGTCATTCAAGAAACTCTTAATTTCAGCGTGATAAGCAATTATTCACTTAAAAGGTGACTTAAAATGCATCACATGCTTACTCAATAGACTGTTACTTCAGATGTGCCCGTGTGTGTGACTGGCCCATGTGGGGAGCCAACCCAATCCAAATAACTTTATTGTACTAGCCATTGACCATGACAAATCTGAATCAAAAATAAATACAAGCAAAAGGGGTGCCGTGCCACAAATAATAGTCTCTATTTAGGTCTCTGTGTCTCCCTTACAGTTCACTGCTAAATTGTCCAGAGCAGGCTTCCTAAAACTTCGCCCTCCAGTTGTTTTTGGCCTACAACTCCCATGATCCCTAGCTAGCAGGACCAGTGGTCAGGGGTGATGGGAATTGTAGTCTCAAAACATTTGGAGGACCAAGTTTGAGAGAGCCTGGTCCAGAGTCTTCTTTCTGATCTTTTTGGCTGCCAAAGCAAAAAGGGTGTCTTTATGAGTCACTGAAGCGTTTACATTGCTAAGAAGCCAAAGGACCTTCTCCGCTGGGGAGAGACATCTTTCCTGTACGGACGGTCGGGTGAGAAATCGCCTCCTGGGTCCAGTGTATAGTGAGCAATATAGTAAAAAGTGCAAGATGTCTTCCACCTGTGTTTGCCCATGTGAAGAGCAATTCTGGCCCTGGATTGATTCCAGGTTGGTCACTGAACAGGAAAGGCTATAAGAGGCTGCTTGTTTGGGGTCCTTGGCTGAATGATAACATATTTCTGACTTTGCTGTGTTTTCTTCTGCCTTCCTTTGAATCTGACTTCTTGGCTCACTCTTGACTGGACGTGAGGCACAGAGAAAATTGTGACGACATAATAAGTAGCTGACTTTTAACAACCTCCTAGGACAGGTGTGGGGAACCTTTGACCTTCCAGTTGTTATTGAACTACAATTCCCATCAGCCTCAGCAAACATGGCTAGGCATGGAAGCTAAACCGGCGGGTCAAAGTTTCCCCACAACTGTCCTGGTTCTTCTCTGCCAGGCATGAACAGAACCATTTTTAAAGTATCTGTCACAGAAAGCCCTCAGAGAATCAACAGAGCGGACTAGCATAAATTCCTACTTGAAGAGTTGGCTATACTGGACAAATTTTGAGAGCAAGTCTACTTTTTCTAACACAAATCTTCCTGCCTGAGGAGAAACCAAAGTTTAAAGACTTTTAACAGTTGTCCCCCTCTTTCCCCCATTTCCTCCATTTCATAACAAACCTATTATGTGTTAAGTTTATTGAGTTCCATCACAATGGAGGCAGCTTCCCAGTCACAGGAATGAAATGTGGAATACCCTTAGGGTGGGCTTTCAAACACAGTAAGCTATCTTTAACAAATGTCTCTTGTCCGCTCTGCTTAATGGGCAGTCCTTAGAAAGTGAGCTGGCCAAGAGAATTTAGATTAAAGTATTGAAAACCATCCGTGAGCAAGAAACCCTGCCAAGCTGCTAACAGTGTGGCGCTGCTGTGTTCTTGGCCAAAATAGACATGCAGCCTTGCGTCTCTACCCAGGCTAAACTGAAGGGACCTATTTCAGAAGCTCATTTAAAATGGTTCCAGGCTTGCTGCGTTATATATCGCCCATGTTGAGATCCAATATAAATAAATGAGCACCTGATAATGCATTTCAGCACATAAATATGGTGGGGAGCCAATGTGGTATAGTGGTTAGCATGCTGGACTAAGACCTGGGAGATCAGGGTTCAAATCCCTGCCCAGCCATGAAGCTCACTGGGTGACATGGGGACAGTCACTGTCTCTTAGCCTCATAGGGTTGTTGTGAGGATAAAAATGAAGAGGAAGAAAGCAGTGTATGCCACCTTGGACTTCTCGGAGGAAAAGTGGGATATAAATGTAATAAACAAAACAAAATAATGTAGAAATTTCAGTTTTCATATTTATCTTACCATACACAAAGGCATTGCATTAATTGGGGCATTTAAAAAATCTCATAAAACCATTACTTGAAAACATAATAATAAAATTCCCAAGGATGTTTGCAATTTAGAAAGCTGATCACAGATTCCTGCGTAAAAACAGCTGACAGCCATAAAGAGGGCATCTGTCTGAATGTTAGAGGGCAAGAGCACACATCTCCAAGGCTGCATTCCCAAACCGCATACTGGAGAGCAGCCCACTGAAGTCAAACGAAGGGAAAACAAATGGCTCTGAGAAGCAGTCCTTTAAAAACTCAAAGCCTGCATTGATCTGCAAACTAGTGCTAAGATGAATTCACCATACTGGAAGCCCATAGTAACCCTTAACAGTGCTGAGCGGCACCACATAATACGGGTTATCAGGACACACACACCCCTACCCCTCTCATGTTTTATAATATTGTTATGAGTTTCGGGGTGTGATACCTGTATAATCCTAGCAAGCCTTAAAAGCTGATCAAGCCAGCTTCCTGGTGAGATAACAGCCGGGAACAAAAGAAAGGCAATGGGCCATTAAGACAACAAAGGAAAGGGGGCTCCGTGCCAGATGAAAAATGGGTGGGGCCCCTCCTCCAGCTCTTAGTTAGATTGAGAAGGACAAAGCCTGTGTTTGGAGGGCAGAGTCAGTTGTGATGCGACCTAGAGGCGAAAGCTGCAGGATGGCAAAGGGCACCACGCTGAGGGACTCAAGTCACTTAGAGATAGTCCTGACACGCCTGTCCATTTGATCAGAAACAAACCATTCTACAGCACACATTTTACCGGGAACTTTCAGACAAATTGTATATAGGCACGCTTTCTAAGTTAAGGACAAGCCACAGGATTCTGTATCTGTTCCAGCATCAAAATGTGGAATGCTGCCAAGAGACAATAACTTCCAAAGAACTTTCAGAACACTGCAAGGGAGTTGAGCACAGAGAGCTAAAAATAATATTTGTTACCATGTGTACAGTAGAGACAAATACACACGAGAATAAAATTGGGGTGGAGCAACTGAAAAACGATTATCGGATGTGGCTATATGGAGTGGGGAAACTTATCTGTCTTGTCAAGGGAATATAATGGTCAGCTGAACCCCTGCTGAAGAAACGATGATCCCAGAAAGGGTTGCATTTCCTCCTCTTCAAAACAAGGAGAGGGAAGCACTGGCCCTTCAGATGCGGTTGGACTTCAGCTCTCATCAGTTCCACCCAGCGAGGCCAATGGTAAGAGATGATGGGAGCTGGAGTCTAACAATATCTGGAGGGCCACACTAAACCCTAAAATGTATTTTAAATAATTGACTTTTTATTTCTATTCTTTGTATAACGCATTGTTGTTTTATTGCTACGGCCGATGGCTGATGCAAATAAAGATTCATTCATTCACTCTGAAGGGCCACAGGCTCCCCATCTCTGAAATAGTGAAGTTTAGAGTCCAATGATTCAGATCAAAATAGAACAATCAGACAAAATGAAAATCTCATATCCTTCTGACAAGCTGGTTAAGGGCACAGTCTGAAGACAAAGAACATAGCCAACTCGAGGAAGCTAAGCAGATCTGGGTCTGGTCAGTGCCTGGATGGAGGACAATCTGGGAAGAATGGTGAAATATAAGATCTATCAAATAAATAAATACGGCGTATTAAGGCAGTCCTAAATGTATTGATTTGGCAGCAAGCACAGTGGGACTGACTTCTCTAGGAACATGCGTGGGATTGTGCTGCGCATGCAGCTAATTAATTCAGCAGGGAAATATACGGCAGCTAAAAAGTTCTAGAGAAAGAAAGAGGTACACATTGAAAGCAGCTAATGGACGAAGCACATTGTTCATAGCCTGAAAAGCAGTGAACAAGTAGGCAATTAACAATTTTTAACAGCCTCAGCATATTGTTCTATTTATAAAAAAAAACCACCCTGTTTTATTTTCAGAGCGACTCAAAGCAGCTTAGTAGAATGCAATCACTACCAGTTCAGTGTTTATTCATAAATCAGTGATATTATCATATAACAGAAAAATCAAAGGAAACAGAAGACAGAGTCTCTGTACCGTTCTTTATCTGTTGTGCAGAACGGATTTTTTTGGCCACTGCAGTTTTTATTACCCCTGGAGCACTTTAGCACGACAAATGGCAGCTGCCAAAATTCACTCTTTGGAAGAAAATATATATCACCACTAAGCCCCATATTCAAAGAAAATCATAGTTTTGCACAGTTGTGTAAATAAACCTATAGTCATATATTTTGAACTATTATCTTTAAAATGTGCACAGAAGACAGATAGATTTAAGCTATGTCTCTCTCACAAACCACGCTGTCCACCTATTGTGAATGCCAACTTGTTAATTTAACCTTGCAAGGTGCTGACTCAAGTTGGAGTCTACATTGACTACCCATGGTTTAGATGCACAGTTAACACCTGGTCCCTTCTTACTAAACCACCCTGAGAACACATTTATGTAGACAAATAAGCCACAAAACGAGTAGCGTTAATCTGATATCCCGAAAGGTGGTTGACAAATGGTCTGCAGCATACATACCGGCGTGCCGATATCGATCTGCACAAAGATTTTGTTCATTTAAGTTGTTCAAAGAATCAACTGCATAAAGCTTCCTTTCTTTATGAAAGTTTTGTAAGTCACTTTCCACGGAAGAACTCTCCATCACACCTATGAAGAAGAAGAAGAAGAAGAAGAAGAAGAAGAAGAAGAAGAAGAAGAAGAAGAAGGAGAGTTTGGACTTGATATCCCGCTTTATCACTACCCTAAGGAGTCTCAGAGCGGCTACCATTCTCCTTTCCCTTCCTCCCCCACAACAAACACTCTGTGAGGTGAGTGCGGCTGAGAGACTTCAGGGAAGTGTGACTAGCCCAAGGTCACCCAGCAGCTGCATATGGAGGAGCAGGGAAGCGAACCTGGTTCACCAGATTACGAGTCCACCGCTCTTAACCACTACACCATGCTGGCTTCTTCTTTTTTTGATGAAACTTGGCAACATGTCTCTAATCAATATATTTGCTCTTCTAGGCAGCAAACACCTATGATGGCAACCTCCAAAAAGAAAGCTGTTGTTGATGCTGATGCTGATGATGTTTAAATCTAACTTTTCACCGAGGTTTTCCGTATGACCTTGATGGATGCTGGTATGGAGTTCAGTACCTCCTATGTCACCTGCTCAGTAAATATGCCCTCAAAAATCCAGAATGCACAAGGCACTGTTTGCTTTTCCTGCTCAGCTCCTGTTTGTGGTGACTCAGCTTCTCCTACTTGGAACACACATGCTTACACTTTTGCTAGGATCTTCCCCGCCACTCTGAACAAAGGAGAGGTGCCAAGAACTTCTCTCTGTGAGTGATCATGGTAATGGTGGCTGACACAGGCGCCTTCCCCCCCCCATTCATGGGGCAGCTAATGGGGAGACATGAGAAGTCTCACAGGCCTCATCTGAAGAATGTGGAATGAAGGAGAAAACATGTAAACTAACAGGAGAAACGGAGGAAAATACTGAAGGGTGAAGAGTAGCCCTGTAATAGTGCTTCAAGTTAAGAACTTTGCTTCAGGATGAGAACAGAAATTGTGCTCCGGCGGTGCGGCAGCAGCAGGAGGCCCCATTAGCTAAAGTGGTGCTTCAGGTTAAGAACAGTTTCAGGTTAAGTACGGACCTCCAGAATGAATTAAGTACTTAACACGAGGTACCACTGTAATCACAATCAGAGTGGCTATTTTTTCTTCTTTTTCTTGTGTAAGGTAAAGGTAAAGGTAACCCTGCCCGTACGGGCCAGTCTTGCCAGACTCTAGGGTTGTGCGCTCATCTCACTCTATAGGCCGGGAGCCAGCACTGTCCGCAGACACTTCCGGGTCACGTGGCCAGCGTGACAAGCTGCATCTGGTGAGCCAGCGCAGCACACGGAACGCTGTTTACCTTCCCGCTGGTAAGCGGTCCCTATTTATCTACTTGCACCCGGGGGTGCTTTCGAACTGCTAGGTTGGCAGGCGCTGGGACCGAACGACGGGAGCGCACCCCGCCGTGGGGATTCGAACCGCCGACCTGACGATCGGCAAGTCCTAGGCGCTGAGGCTTTAACCCACAGCGCCACCCGCGTCCCTATTGACTGGTTGCTCAGGCCTTATTTCTGATTTTCCCCAGTGTGTGAAGCTCAGTATGAGACTTTTTCTGGGTTTCTGGGCAGAAAAATGAATGCAGCAACCAGTTTTTTAAAAATCCATTTGCATTCCACAATTAGTTTCCAGTTGTTTTAGTTAGTACTTTATATAACATCCAGTTAACAGGAAGGAAAATCTGAAGGTCAGGAACAAGATTAGATTGAATTTTTGAAAAAACAAACTGCACACAAGTCTTTAACTTTGCAAAGAGCATAACTATTTTGTTTGTTTTATACCTTTCAGTGTCACCTTGTTCACTGTATCATTAACATCCCTTTTTCTTATAAAGCAAAAAAATATGCCAGTCATTTAATGCCTGGTGCTCAAACTAAACTTTCTGTTAACCTACATAATGGGCTATGTAAATATGAATTTTACTCTGCATGGAAGAGAGGGAGTAAGGGGAAAGATCACTACCTTTCCCTACTCCTGGCTTTTCCCACATCCTCTCCCACAAGTGAGTACTGTAGAGCAGGGAAATTGGCTGAGGCCAAAAAACGCTGCACTCAGAAATGTGGTCATCCCACCCAATAAGGAAATCTGGCTACAGGGCTGATGCAAATGAAGTTCTGAAACATTGTGAGAAGTTTCTTGTTTCCAACTTGTTCTGATGCAGTGCACAAATGTCTGCTCTGCTTCACCTTTTACCCTTTTGGCAGTTCACCAAGGACAAGCTGAATGGCATTAAAAATATCTGTCCAACTTTCTTCCATGTGCCTTGGTTTCTGTGCCACAAGTCTCCTGAGTCATCTTTTCTTCAGTATTGACTGTAAGGGGCCCTTATGCTTTTATATCAAACTGAAAAATTAGACTGCTTCTTAGCAACGTGGAAGTATTACAGTGGTACCTCGGGTTACAGACACTTCAGGTTACAGACTCCTCTAACCCGGAAATAGTACCTCAGGTTAAGAACTTTGCTTCAGGATGAGAACAGAAATCACGCAGCAGCGGCACGGCAGCAGCGGGAGGCCCCACTAGCTAAAGTGGTACCTTATGTTAAGAACAGTTTCAGGTTAAGAACAGACCTCCAGAAGTAATTAAGTTCTTAACCCAAGGTACCACTGTATTCACTTATACTGCTGAAATCTATCACTGTACCTCAGTCTACCTAAGTGAGGTGCTGGAGCAGGAGTGAGCAGCCCCACGACTTATTTTCCTGCAGGATTGGCGACGGCATTTCCTGGGTCTCTGTTTGCCCGTCTTCCATATGCCAAATAAATAGTAAGCCTTTCTCAGTGGAAACAGAGGAAGAAATGGGTTCCATTGGCAGGGCTAAGGGTAAAATTAAATTAAATTTGGAAAAGTCCAAAATCCATTAATTAAGACCAACCAAAATGTCATACACTAAGCTACTGAGTCCGCCAGAACTCTCCATCAGGCGAGATGTCCTATTTACACTGTTAGAGGCAGCAAGCCTCTGAATGCCAGTTGCTGTGAACAAGGCCGGCCCAAGACATTTGGACCTTTGAGGCAAACCACAAAATGGCAGCCTCCTCCTTCCTGGGGAAGAAGAGGAGCGTGAAGCTCTACATTGGGAACAAGGGGAGAATAAAGATCAACATTGGGATCTGCTGCCCCTGTGGATTCTGCTGCCCAAGGCCTTGTCTCATGCGTGGGCCAGCCTTGGCTGTGAATCACTACTGGGGAAAGTGCTTTTGAATTCACCTCCAGCTTGCTGCCTTCCTATAGGCATCTAGTTGGTCACTGTCAGAGGAAAATACTGGACTAGATGGGCCATTGGACTGCTTCTGCAGGTTCGTCTTATGAATTTCAAGCAAAGTGGGGGAAAGCTGGCTTGGTATTACAGCCATAATAGGTTGGTTAATTCCCCCTCCCCCTTGTATAATAGTTTTAGAATGGACGTGGCTATGGAGATGTGGCCGTAGGGGCTGTCATGAAGAATGTCTGCACATCAGAAAGTTCCACTGTACCACTGGTGTACATTTGAACTGCCATATATAAGCTCTGTAGGACACGGGTAGCGCTGTGGGTTAAAGCCTCAGTGCCTAGGACTTGCCGATCGAAAGGTCGGCGGTTCGAATCCCCGCGGCGGGGTGCGCTCCCGTCGCTCGGTCCCAGCGCCTGCCAACCTAGCAGTTCGAAAGCACCACCGGGTGCAAGTAGATAAATAGGGACCGCTTACCAGTGGGAAGGTAAACGGCGTTCCGTGTGCTGCGCTGGCTCGCCAGATGCAGCTTGTCACGCTGGCCACGTGACCCAGAAGTGTCTGCGGACAGCGCTGGCTCCCGGCCTATAGAGTGAGATGAGCGCACAACCCTAGAGTCTGTCAAGACTGGCCCGTACGGGCAGGGGTACCTTTACCTTATATACGTAAGCTCTGTGGTGGGTAGAACGTCTGTAGGATTACATAACTTTTTCATGCAGCGTATTGGCACTTGCTCCCACAGGAAGCAGTGATGACCTATTTAAAGATGGCTTTAAATAGAGGATTAGGCAAATTTGTGGAAGACAAAGCTATCAAGGGCTACTCGCCATGACCTCCCCTGTCAGAGACCTCATGCATCTGAGTATCAGTTTCTGGGAAACTGGGCAGGTGAGCAGAATACTATGGCACTCATGTCCAGGTATTCGGTTGGCCACTGTGAGAACAGGATGCTCGGATAGATGCTGAGCCATTGGTCTGATCTAGCAGGCTCATCTTATGTTATCTCTTACTCATACTTCATCTCTTATGCACAGCACTGCAGTGTTGAAATGAGCTGGTTGGCTGTGTACTAACAGCCAATCCTGAGGCACAAATATGAAAGATGAAATCCCTGACAGCTGCATCAGCTTTCATCACATGTGCCTGCACCATTCTGCATGCTTATTTGCTGTCAATCTCTCTCAGAACCGAGCGTCAGGGTACTATATATTCAAATACAAGGAAGCTAAGCAAAAGGTTCCCATTAGTAAAGAGATGGAGGAAAAATACTGATAAGTGATAAAAAAATAAGGTTTGCAGAACCTTTCTTTCTGAACTAGTGAGGATTGCAAGGAGAGCTCTGGTTACAATGAACATGCCCATTCTGATCGAAAATGTTATATATGCAACCCTGAGTTCAGGACGGAGGGATTATTGCTCCCATGGGAAACTGTGACACAGGGAAGGGAGCCATATCAAACACAGCCATATAATGATTCATTATTTCTATTTTTGGTTTCCCTCAACAAAGGACCAGACACAGTGCTTTAACCCAAGTTGCACAGAATTCTAAAGGTTCACCTCCAGTATTCACAGCGTTTTTTGAAATCCCCGAGGGAGATGTTTTCCTCAACGTTTCCTGTTAAGGGAATCAACAAGCAAGAACTATGGAAGAATCTTCTAATTAACTCTGCTCTAGTCAATGTAATTTGCTTTGACTGACTGGTTTTAAGTATAGTTTGAAAAAGCCAGCTGTCCTGCTATGCACTTAAGTCTAATGAAAAATTAAAACCAAGAAGTTGCATGTGATTTGTGTTTTCTTTCCCTTGAGTGTGGCTGGAAGCAGAAGCTAACAGCATGAGCACTCAAAACTCAGCCGCTCTTAACACGGTAACTATAACCTTTTGTGCATTTGAGTGAGTTGGTGTCAGTATTGATTTGGTCTTTGACTCCTCACTTGTCCCCCCCCCATTTAATTTATTCAGGATGAAGAGAGAAGTTAGCAGAAAAAGTAACTGCAGTTAACCAAAGATCTGAAAATAAATCCAACTAACCAAAGAATAAATATTAGCAGATTTAAAACCATAAAAACTGAAGGTTACTTACATCTTTAACCATGTCCAGAATTCAGAATAATTCTCCAGAGTCTAATTCTAAATCATTTCAGAAGAATTCTGGTATTTTGTTCAAGTAGAAAACATACTGTATGCTATTCCTCTTGTCCTTTGGAACGCCATTGGAGTGTCTCAACTAAACCCACAAGCTTAGCTCTGAAACACAGTGTGCTTTCCATCTATATTTAGTATTCATTTGAGCCAAGTTGTCAGGTTTCAAATACTTCGTTAGAAGACACTATAATTTTTAAACACACTTATAGAGAGAAAAATATACAGACAGGGTAAAGTTTATAACATTCGTGAATAGATATGAACCCACCACGTCAATAAAATATGCTGATGATGTGCAATGTTGTTCTCCGGTATATAAAAGTTGCAAACATGTATGTATTCACTATCCATTGGAGAGAACTGAACGCCTCAAGAGTTGAAGCTGATATAGCTGGTTTTCTCATCTAGTGGCACCATAACCTCCTGGGTAGACTGAGGCAGGAGACTCATTGTTACAAAACCCATTCAACATAGCCAAGGCTTTTAACTGAATTATGGTCCTGCACCTCTCCACTGGTTTCCTTGTCTGCTGTCGCATTGATCTTAAGTCTTCTTTATTTATTTAGTATTCTAAAATATTTCTGAACAAAAAAAACCCCCCAGCTTACATAGAGGGGTTGCAAACCTTTTTGGGCCAGTGGGCAAATTTGCAGACTGCAGAAACTGCGCCTGGTGCCAAACAAACACAACTACAAGTGCATGTCACAACCTATACTGTTGACTACAATAGAATGCTTCTTTTAAGTCGAATTTCAGTGGAGGGAGGGGACTGTGCAGATGCCCCCTGGCTTACAACAATTAAAAACATTAAGTATTTTTTAAAATAAAAAAATCAGTATTATTAAAACATAAAACAAATTCACCAAAACAGATTCAAAACTTGAGTAACAATGCTATTCCAGCTTTCATCCAGTTAGCAGGACAAAAATTACTCAGTCTACTACGTTTGCTCTTTTTTTTTACCATTTAAAAAATAGATTTAGCATTACAAAGTTCTGGTTCTTTAATTGACACTTTGGGCACTTTTAATAGGAAAGTGACTCAACTATTTAAAATAAATGGCATACCGGCCAGTGGCCAGTAGTCAATTTTCTCAGTGCATATGCAAATTCGCTTCTTGTCCTTTCGTTTTCATATTTACATAGAAATACGGTAATTAATATTTCCACATACTGGTAAATAAAATCGTATTGGTTTGTTTTACTTCCAGCAAGGAGGCTCAGGCGCAAGATACCTGAAGTTTCACACATTTTGAGGGCTTGCTCTTAGATGCAGCTGGTGAGGAAAGAAGCCTTGTATATATATATGCTGCATTGAGAGAAGTTACCACAGAACATACAGCTGACATTAGGGCAGTTTGTGAGATAAAGGGAGGAAAACCCACCGAATCAATGAGATAGGGTCTGAAAGGTGAAGCTGCTGGGAAATGATTTATAATGAGTTGAAAAAAATGTTTAAAATAACTTTTTCTAAAACCCCCAAAGCTTTTCTTTTAGGAATTCTAGGTGCCAAAATCCCAAGGGAGCAGAAAAGGCTATTTATGTATGCGACCACAGATGTTATTGGCCCAGAGATGGAAAGAATATAGAGTCCCCACCAGAGAAGAATGGCAGATCAAATTGATGGATTATGCCGAAATGGCTAAAATGACCGGAAGAGTCAGAAGTCAGCAAGAGCAGAATTTTAATAATGGGGGAACATTCATAATTTATCTTAAAAACCATTGTAAATAACACTTGTAGTTTAATGGTGACTTTTGGACATAATGGAGATGTAAAAGATTTGGATCAGGCATAGGCAAACTCGGCCCTCCAGATGTTTTGGGACTACAACTCCCATCATCCCTAGCTAACAGGACCAGTGGTCAGGGATGATGGGAGTTGTAGTCCCAAAACATCTGGAGGGCCAAGTTTGCCCATGCCTGATTTGGATTATCATAAAAGATGCAGGAGGAAATGATTAATAACAACAGGACCCACAAAAGGGAGGAGGGAAGTCCAGGCGATTCTTTGGAATCTTGTTTTTATGTTGTGTATTGGATATGTGATTGTAAAACTTTGATCAGAAAACCAAATAAACAAATCTTTTAAAAAAAGAAAGGTGAAACTGCTGTGATCTATTTTAAAAGCAATCCTTAAAAAGGTAAAGGGACCCCTGAGCATTAGGTACAGTCGTGACCGACTGGGGTTGCAGCGCTCATCTCACTTTATTGGCCAAGGGAGCTGGCGGACAACTTCCAAGTCATGTGGCCAGCATGACTAAGCCGGTTCTGGCGAACCAGAGCAGTGCACGGAAACGCCGTTTACCTTCCCGCCGGAGCAGTACAGTGGTGCCTCGCAAGACGAAATTAATTCGTTCCGCAAGTCTTGCAGTTTTTTCGTCTTGCGGTTTTTTCGTCTTGCGGTTTTTCGTCTTGGGATGCATGGTTTCCCATAGGAATGCATTGAAAATCAATTAATACGTTCCTAGGGAAACCGCCTTCAGACCAGGTCCGGGGACAGACTGTCCCCGGACCTCTTCTGAAGGCTGGGGGGGGGACAAGGGCTTTTCTTCCCACCCCCAGCATTTTAAAAAACCCTGGGACAGCGGAGGACTTCTCCGCTGTCCGGGCGATCTTAAAATGCTGGCGGGCGGCATTTTAAAATCGCCCCGGGACAGTGGAGGACTTCTCCGCTGTCCGGGGCGATTTAAAAGCCCCTGGGAAGGCAGGCAGGGGGGACAAAGACTTTCGCCCCCCGCCCGCCTTCAGAAGGTGTTCCCGCCCCCCCCGCCCGGCTTCGCAAGCAGCGCTACGAAGCCCGGCGGCTGGGGCAGGTGTTCCCGCCCCCCCCACCCCGCTTCGGAGCAGCGTTCCGAAGCGGGGTGGCTGGGGCAGGTGTTCCCGCCCCCCGCCCGCTTCGCAGCAGCGCTACGAAGCCCGGCGGCTGGGGCAGGTGTTCCCGCCCCCCACCCCGCTTCGGAGCAGCGTTCCGAAGCGGGGTGGCTGGGGCAGGTGTTCCCGCCCCCCGCCCGGCTTTGCAGCAGCGCTACGAAGCCCGGCGGCTGGGGCAGGTGTTCCCGCCCCCACCACCGCTTCGGAGCAGCGTTCCGAAGCGGGGTGGCTGGGGCAGGTGTTCCGCCCCCCGCCCGGCTTCGCAGCAGCGCTACGAAGCCCGGCGGCTGGGGCAGGTGTTCCCGCCCCCCCCACCCCGCTTCGGAGCAGCGCTACGAAGCCCGGCGGCTGGGGCAGGTGTTCCCGCCCCCCCCACCCCGCTTCGGAGCAGCGTTCCGAAGCGGGGTGGCTGGGGCAGGTGTTCCCGCCCCCGCCCGGCTTCGCAGCAGCGCTACGAAGCCCGGCGGCTGGGGCAGGTGTTCCCGCCCCCCACCCCGCTTCGGAGCACCGGAGAAGCGATCTCCCCGCAGCCCCTTGCTTCAAAAGAGGTCCGGGGGCGGACCTCTTTTGAAGCAAGGGGCGGTGGGGAGAAGCGATCTCCCCGCCGCCCCTTGCTTCAAAGAGAAGACCCGCTGTCCCCGGGCAAGCTTCGTTTTGCGAAGCAAGCCTATAGGGAAATTCGTCTTGCGAGGCAACTCGAAAACGAAAAAACCTTTCGTTTTGCGAGTTTTTCGTCTCGCGAGGCGTTCGTCTTGCGGGGTACCACTGTACCTATTTATCTACTTGCACTTTGATGTGCTTTCGAACTGCTAGGTTGGCAGGAGCAGAGACCGAGCAATGGGAGCTTACCTTGTCGTGGGGATTCGAACCGCCGACCTTCTGATCGGCAAGTCCTAGGCTCTGTGGTTTAAACCACAGCACCACCCGCGTCGCTAAAAAGCAATCCTTAGAAACTGCTAAACCCTAGTAAGATTGTACCCAGCATGTTTACCAATGTCCTAAGACCGTAAGAAGGGTTGTGGGCATCAACAGGTCACTTGTCCCTGACCATTTGCCGTCCTGGCTGGTGCTGTTGGGAATCCAACACCTAGAGGCCCACCCCTGGTGTAGAGTAGTTGGATGATAAGATGTTGCAGTAGTCATTGTATCACACCCCCACCCCGTTCATTGTTTTATTGATAAGATGGTCTGGCAGCCTGATAATCCGATTTAGCCAGTGGAACCAAAGATACAATTGCCTTCTAGTCCACTTCACTGGTTATGCCCAAAGGCATTCAAGGTGATCTCCTTTACTTTGCAGTTCTTGATCCTTTGGAATAAAGCAATACCGGCTTGTCCATTTCATCCAGTGACCATCTTGGTACATACTAAGCAATATATTACATTATTAGTGCATTTGTCCCCACTTGTTGAGATTGACTTGAACTATGATTGGATAGGGATTGTCACGGCTTCTGAATCCTGTGCATTCAAGTAGTCCATTTGACCAAGTTGCACCTCATCCAGGAAGGAGGAATACTGATGAAACTGACCTACGGAAGGCACAAGCCAGGGTGGTGGAAATCATGAGTAGAACTAGGGTGATGAGAGTTCAAAAAAAATTGAGAGCAACATATTGGCAACCGCTATTCTAGAGGACCATGTGGCATTTCATGAACTTTGGAGTATCACATTGAATTCTCTCCTGGGTAAGGACAGTCCTTCCAGCATTCAATGTTTAGCTAAGGGAATTACTGCAATACACTTTGCACAGAACTACCTTGTTAACTTATAAGGTAGGTGGCAACTGAGAAGAGGGCCTTTTCTGGGTAGCAACTGAATATGAATCTCTACCCAGAACAGTTTGGTTTTCTCCCCCTTTTCCTTTCCGGCAACAAGCAATAATTATTTTTGGCTGAACTTCTGGAGACGAAAGATTAAGAACATGTAGTTTTCATTTTGTCTGCTGTTTTACTCCTGACATTTACCTGATTTGGGGATTTATGAGCTAATAAAAAGTCTAGATATCATCTACATATAAGCAGCTGTGGATCACCGAAGACAGCAGTGCCAGCACCGTTATTAATATTGACATAGCAGTCCTACTGATAGCTCACTCAATTTTACAATTAGTGTCAAAGTGCTACTTCGCTTTAAACAGTTGTAACCCTTTTATTGCCGGTATATAATTTCC